CATTCATGATTTGTGCACTTTCAGTATAACACGTTATGCCCCATTGACAAGTTTTACAGGAAGAATAGAATAAGCATCAAAAGTTAAAGAGAAAAAATGTAAACCATTACATATCACCAGATCTAAAACAAGTTCCTCTTAACCTGAGTCTGCGTGAGGTGTCCCTTCTGTGGGCCCTATGCGCACCTGTCCTCCTACTCCAGCTTACATGTTTCACCCAAGAGACGTGCTCTGTCCAATACTAACCACTAACCCCATGCACTTATTTACATTTAAATTAGGCTGGGTGTAGTGGCTCACAACTATAGTCCCAGCCCTTTGGGAGGCTGAGGCAGGATGATTGCTTGGAGGCCAGGAGTTGGAGAACAGCCTGGGCAATATAGAAAGACCCTGTGTCTAAAAAAAATTTTTTTAATTAGCCAGGCATGGGCTAATTTTTAAAAACTGGCTGAGTGTGTGCCTGTAGTCCTAGCTACTTGGAAGCCTGAGGCAGGAGGATCACTTGAGCCCAGGAGTTGGAGGCTGCAGAGAGATATGATTGCACCACTGTACTCTAGCCTGGGCAACAGAGCAAGACCCTATGGCTGGAGTGCAGTGGCACAACCTCTGCTCACTGCAACCTCTGCCTCTTGGGCTCAAGCAATTCTTGGCCTCAGCCTCCGTGTAGCTGGGACTACAGGCACGCGCCACCATGCCTGGCTAAGTTTTGTATTTTCAGCTGAGACAAGGTTTCACCATGTTGGCCAGGCTAGTTTCAAATTCCTGACATCAAGTGATCCACTCTCCTTGGGCTCCCAAAGTGCTGGGATTACAGCACTACGGCTGGAACCTGGCAAAAAAAAAAAAAAATGTTAATTAAAATAAAACAAAACTAAAAATTCAGTTCCTCAATTGCACTAGCCACATTTCAAGTGCTTAGTAGTTCCATGGGGCTACTGTCAACCGTGTTGGAAAGCACAGCCACCAAACACGTCCATTGTCCCAGAAAGTTCTATTGGACAGTGCTACACCCCACCATAAGCTCTGGAAGACAAAGACTTGTCTTTGTGGTCCAGTACTGGCTCCCTGGCACCGACATGCTGTGAGGCCCAGCACAGATGCTGAACATCAGAGAAGTGAATGAGCACACTGCCGCACACCGCACATGGCCCGGCGGCAGCTCCATGACCTTTCTCCCATTTGCTTCCCCTGCCTCCAGACTTCCCCTGCTTCTAGCCAAGCTTTGACCCAAGGTCCTAACCCAGGGCTCATAGCCCCTTCCCTCCCTCTAAACTATCTCTGATCTGTGACAGGCTTAGGGTCCTGGAGCCATTATATGTGAGTATGTGTGTGTGCTTGTGTGTACGTATGTTGGGAGCAGGAGTAAAGACTGAATTGGCAGGGGTGAAAAGATGCCAGGGTTCCAAGTCTCAAGAAGCTCAAGTTCAGGCCTCTGGCAATGGCCACTGTCACCTATGCAGCTGACTGGATTCTGAATCTCCCAGATGTGTGACTCTGGACAAGAAACTACCCTCTGTGAACCCACTGTATTCCCTGATGCTTCACTGTAAAATATGGATAGTAATACCTACTTCATATAGGTAGTGAGTGCAATAAATAAGATGTCTGGGGCTCTGTTGATACTCAATCATTGTTTGTTTGTTTCTATACAGAGAGGGTGGTAAAATCTCTTCTTCGAGCATCATTTAGATTGTGGCTCTCAGACACCTGCATGGTTCCCACTTATCCCACAAAGGAGGCCAAGTATAACTCCTGACAGCTCCTTTTGCCTTCAAGCAAGAGGCTTGTCATCAGTTCCATTGCTCTTATCTCCAAAGGCACCTGGCTCGGCCTCTCTCTGCCAGCCAGCTACGCTTGTTTGGCTTTCTCTCCCTCACCTTCACGTCATATTACATACCTGAAATACCCTTCCTGCCTGTGCTTTCCAAAACCCAGGCCCTGCCTTCCCTGACGCAGAGTTTTTCATAAGACTCACTTCCTCTCTTAAGCTTGCTTGACTTAACCTTCTCAGTTTCAAGATTGCTAATCACTAGAAAATATTTCTTCCCTATCTCAGCCTCCAACCACCCCCCTTCCTCCTCTCTTAGTGACTACAAAGCAAGGCTGTACCTGGCAAATCTGCACCTGAGGGCATCTGTGTTCCCAGGTGTCTAGTTGCGCCTGTGAGTGTGTGCAGAGCAGGAAGCAAGACAAGGTGATGACCAACAACTGAAAAAGGCTGGTGGTGAGGTGGGAGGGCTGCCCGACTAGATACAGGTCCCATTTGGCCACTTATTACATGGTGGCCCTCAACAAGTTACTTCATCTTTCTGAGCCTCAGTTTACTATTACTATACTGAGCCCTTACTTAGGACAGACACTATTCTAAGTACTTTACACAGATTCTTTTATTTCAGCTTAACTTCAACAGATTAACTTCAACTGCAGCAGGTAGATAATATTATTTTTCCTATGTTACTGTTGAAGAAAGAGACACAGAGGAAGCTCAACACAGAAGTTGAGTAACTTGCCCCAGGTCACCCTGGGACAAGTAAGTGGCAAAGCTAGGATTTGTAGCCAGGCAGTTTGGCACCAGCATCCACGTTCTTAATTACTCTGCTAACTACCTCCCACCTGTAATTCTGTGTATGTGCACATACATATATACCTCATATATATGCAAAGCTCCCATCACAGTGGCTGGCACAAAGAGAACCAATAAATGGTTTAACTCTTTCCTCGCTGGGATGGCAAATACACAAGGATAGAAAAAAAAGTCTCTTTTCCTCTGTAATTTGTTATAGGAGCTAGGAAAGAAGTATATAATGGGCACTTTACATACATTTCTAGGGGCTGAGAGAAGTGTGAAGGATTTATAAAGATTTAAAGCACTGGCTGGGCATGTGACTCATGCCAGTAATCCCAGCACTTTGGGAGGCTAAGGCAGGCCAATAACCTGAGGTCAGGAGTCTGAGACCAGCCTGGCCAATGTGGTGAAACCCCCTCTCTATTAAGAATACAGAAACTAGCTGGGTGTGGTGGCACATGCCTGTAGTCCCAGCTACTTGGGAGGCTGAGGCAAGAGAATCGCTTGAACCCGGGAGGCAGAGGTTGCAGTGAGCCAAGATCGTGCCACTGCACTCTTGGCGTGTGTGATAAAGTGAGACCCTGTCTCAAAGAAAAAAAAAAACAAAAAAACGATTTAAAGCACTACCTTCTTAACCAGGTGTGAGTGCCACATGGACACACTATTCACAAAGACATCACACACATATACATGAGGTGCACACACACTCACTAGACACCTTGAACCCCATAAAGATTCCACCAGAAAACCTTCCTGAGCTGCTCCAGGCCATGCAGATCTCTCCTATTCCTGAATGCCAACAGAACTCATTGTTAGGCCCAACCAAGCCAGCCCTCACTATGTGATATTTTGTTTGTTCATTCAAATTGCTAGTGAATACCTACTGAGAATCAGGACTAGGTATCAAAGAGGCAAGATCAAAAAAGTATGGTTCCGGTCCTCCAGGAACTTTCAGTATGACAGAAGATACTGGCACACAAATCAAGACTTCTGGGGAAAGAAGATTTACAGTAGGCACAGGGGAAAAAAGCACTGCCTTTGAAAGTACTTGTAAAGGTCTATCAGATTGAACAAGGGCATTTTAGAGAACTTCTGAGGTGCCACTTGAGTTAAATATTTTTTCTTTGTTCTGTGGAGTTCAAAAAGTTAAATCTTAGAGATAAACAGGAGTTACTGTGGCAAAGGAGGGGCACAGAGAAAGGAGAGTGAAGAAGAGGGAAGAGGCTAACATTTAGGGAACTGCATGTATTTCTGTAGGCTGTCATGAAGAGTTTTTAGCAGGGTCAGCAGGACGTAGGACCAGAGAGTAGGCAGAGCCCAAACGCCAAAAGGTCTGATGTGCTAGGCTGAGAGATTACAATTCTGTCCTGAAAAGGAGCCACTCAGGGCTTTTAGGCAGAGATATAACATCAAATCTGCATTTTAGAAAGACTGATTCAGCAGCACAGAGGAGGTACTGATAACACAAGGGACGCAGTGGAAGACACTGAAAAGACCTTCAACAATCTGGAAAAGAAATTTGAAGTTTGAACTCTTAAAGGCAGTGGAAATAGAGAGTATTTAAGCGAGTTTAAGAAGTGGGGAGGAAATAGTGCCATTCGCTACAATAGAAAACATAAAGGCCAATGTTGAGACAGGATGGATGAGAGACAATTTATACCTTTTGGCTTTTGGAGTTTGAGGTGTCTCTGGAACACTCAGGTGAAATGCAATAGGTGTTTGAATATGTATGTGCATGTATATTATTTATTGTTATTTAAGCTTCCAAGACATCTGGGCTGGAGATATAATTTTGGGTGTCATCAACTTATAGGTAGTAATTAAAACAATGAGTGTGGATGATGTCACCCAGAGAAAGTGTGATGCCAGATTTGTGGGCCAAAAGAGAGAGCTCTGCAGAACTCCAACTCTAAGCAGTTGAAGACTTAGATTTAAACATTCTCCCAGTAACAGTGTATGCAGTGGAAAAGGGGTGAGGAAAGGGCCCTGGAGATCACCACATTTAGGGGAGCAGGTGAACAGATGAGAAGAGAGAGGCAGACGTGCGGGATGAGAAGCCAGAATGGGAGTGCCAAGTGTAAAGAAGTGGGTAGGGTCAAATGCTTCAGAGGTAAGAGAAAATGACAGGGAGTTCAACTCCACCTGTTAGATTTAACTTCTAGAAGGTTGTCGGTGTGGCCAGGGTAAGGTCAGTGGAGTAGTGAAGGTGTGGGTTTCCAGCCATTGGAAAACCTTTTCCACTAACTACACTGCACTTTGAGTTACCAACCAGCATGGTCCGCCCCCATTTCACATGCACGCTACAGTCGCACGAGCGCACTCGTACACACCAGGTGGCTAATAGGTACAAGCGTGTCCTGACACCGAGCGCAGAGCCCCCGCGCACGCGCCTCCGAGCCGCCTCCTCCGCCGCAGGCCCTTCCCCAAGCCTGCAGAGGGCGCTGCGCTTCGGTGAGCCGGGACGTGGCGCCGCTCTAGCCAGCTCCTGGGCTCTGTAGCGGGCGCCGCAGCTCTGCGTCCCCCGCGCCTCCTCCCAGCGCAGGTGGGTCCGCCCGCGGGGGGCGGGGGTGCCCGGGAGCCGTGGGATGGGCGGGTAGCGGCAACCTTTGGGGCGCAGAGTGGTCTCCATCGCCTAGGTGTCCCGGCTGGGGCTTTGGCCGTGGCGAATCCAGCTATGGGAAGGGCCACACGGATGGAAGTCCTAGTCCGGGTATTCGCCTCTTCCTGAATGTGCAACACCTGTCCCAGGACCTCTTTACACCCTCGGGGTCTCTGCCCAGGCACGCTTGCTGCTTCCGGGACACAGCTGAGGGCGGAGCTAGTAGGGGCGGGGCTACGTGATTGACACCTCTCTCCTCAGACTTCCAAGGGCTGCTACTGGACCCTTACCCTGTCTTGAACCCTGAGCCGGCACCATGGTGAGAACCCTGAGCCCCGCCCTTCACCTCCGCAGGCCCGTGCCCTCACCCCGAGTGGCTGTGCCTTGGTTGCCCCGCATGAACCTGGGGCTCCACAGTGTGGAGTTTTTGCAGGTCAGCTCCTGCAAGGCAAACTGCACTCTTCCAACCCGTTCATCCTTGTAGCACGGACGCCTGAAGGTGAAGACGTCAGAAGAGCAGGCGGAGGCCAAAAGGCTAGAGCGAGAGCAGAAGCTGAAGCTGTACCAGTCAGCCACCCAAGCCGTATTCCAGAAGGTGGGGCCCTCAGAGGTAGCCCCAACCCCAGGAGGCTACCTCAGTATAGTACACAGGTCAAGAGCTGGTCCCTAGAGTCAGACTGCCTGGATCCAATTCTGGGTTCTCTCACTTATAACTATATGACCTTGGACAAGTTGCTGAATCGCTGGGCCTCAGTTTGCTCCTCTGTAAAATGGAGCTAATAATTGTACCTACTGCATAAGGCTGTTGTGAAAATTAAATGAGAGAATACTTGTAAAGCCATAAAGCATGGTTCATAGTACCTGTTGTATAGTGTGGGATTCACAGAATATTGGGTGGTTCTATATTTATGTTATTTAGTCCTGTAGTGGGCAAATGGTATGATCTCTGACCCTGCTACCTGTCTTCTCAGCGCCAGGCTGGTGAGCTGGATGAGTCAGTGCTGGAACTGACAAGCCAGATTCTGGGAGCCAACCCTGATTTTGCCACCCTCTGGAACTGCCGACGAGAAGTGCTCCAGCAGCTGGAGACTCAGAAGTGCGTAGGGGTTCAGGGTCTTAGAAGACTGCCCTGGCCCTGCACCTGCAGTGCCTGGGTCCAGGGGTGGAGGAGAAATGTGGCAGCCAGTGGCATAGATGGAGGACAGTAGGGGGCTGGGTACAGAAAGTGAGGGGTGAGCTGAGGTTGAGTGTAGGAAAGCCCTGACCCTGCTTCCCCTTGGGTGCAGGTCTCCTGAGGAATTGGCTGCTCTGGTGAAGGCAGAACTGGGCTTCCTGGAGAGCTGCCTACGGGTGAACCCCAAGTCTTATGGTACCTGGCACCACCGAAGCTGGCTGCTCGGCCGCCTGCCTGAGCCCAACTGGGCCCGGGAGCTGGAACTGTGTGCCCGCTTCCTGGAGGTCGATGAGCGGAACTGTACGTTCCTGTAGATTCTGTCCCCACAGTCTTCACCTGCCCACATTCTGGTGCTGGAGCCTCATTAAGGCCCAGAATGGGGATGGATATCCAGGATGGGTCCACTGAGCTGGTGCTGAAAGGGATGATGGAGTCAAATGCATCCTCTGTGAAGTGCACTGAGGTGTTTCTAGGGGTTCCAGCCAGGTAGCTCCTCTTGCCCTGCTTCTAATATACGCTGTCACCTCTCCCCTCCAGTTCACTGCTGGGACTATCGGCGTTTTGTGGCCTCACAGGCAGCAGTGCCCCCTGCAGAAGAGCTAGCCTTCACTGACAGCCTCATCACCCGAAACTTCTCCAACTACTCTTCCTGGCATTACCGTTCCTGCCTCTTGCCCCAGCTGCACCCCCAGCCAGATTCTGAACCACAGGGACGCCTCCCTGAGGATGTGCTGCTCAAAGGTAAGCAGGGTCAGGGGTGCTCGGGAGGACTCTGCAGTGCCACCCTTCCAGCCCCCATGCCTGACCCTATTCCTGAACCTGTCACTCGGATTTATTGAGCACCTACTTCATGCCTGGCTCCATGAGTGCCTAAGACTCAGTCCCTGGCTGCAGAGAGCTCAAGTGTCTGATGGGGAAGATAAAATTGACATATGCAGCCCCTGTGCAAGGACAGCATATAAGTGAGACTGGGGGTTGGAAGTACTCCAAGGAGAGAGTAGGGTGTTGAAGTGGCCAGGAGCCAACCATTGGCCTAACCACAGCCCATGCCTCCCGGAACCCCACAGAGCTGGAGCTGGTGCAGAATGCCTTCTTCACTGACCCCAATGATCAGAGTGCCTGGTTCTATCACCGTTGGCTCCTAGGCCGAGGTGAGCAATGAGGAAAGGGGCTGGGTATTTAGGGCTTGATAGGAGTGGGAGAGGGTTTAAGATCTGATGCTGTGTTTCCCCGTAGCTGACCCCCAGGATGCACTGCGCTGCCTACATGTGAGCCGGGATGAGGCCTGTCTGACTGTCTCCTTCTCTCGGCCCCTCCTAGTGAGTCCTGCAGCTTTTGTCAAGAGCACTGTGGGATTGTGGGCCTGGTGCTGTTGGGGCTGAAGTCTCTCTTTGTCCCTTGTACCAGGTAGGCTCCAGAACGGAGACCTTGCTGCTCATGGTTGATGAGTCTCCCCTGATTGTGGAGTGGAGGACCCCAGATGGCAGGAACCGGCCCAACCATGTCTGGGTATCCCAGGATTGGTGGGGCAGAACTGGGGGTCTGAGGCAGAGCTGGGTGGGGAAGTCAAAAAAGTGGTTATTAGGCCCGGGCATTTCCTTGACCCAGCACTCCAAGCTCTGTGACCTGCCTGCCGCCTCCCTCAACAACCAGTCGCCCCAGCACACGTTTCGCGTCATTTGGACAGAAGGTGATGTCCAGAAAGAATGCGTGCTTTTAAAAGGTGATGGAACTTGCAGCCTCCACCCCTTGCAGCAGCCCCCATCCCTTTCTTCCTCTGGTGGGTGCACCCCACAACCACCTACTCTTTCCCCAGGCCGCCAGGAGGGCTGGTGTCGGGACTCCACCACAGATGAGCAGCTATTCAGGTGGTGACAGGGAAACACAAAACAAGGAGAGGGGCTCTGGGCTCTGGGCAGCAGGCAGCTAGGACAGGAGCCGGCATCTCGGGAAGATGTTTCAGGGTAGATTCTGGGGATTTGACCAGTACTGCAGGGCTGCTGGCCTCAACACCTCCCCACCCTGCCCACCCTCAGGTGTGAGCTGTCAGTGGAAAAGTCCACAGTGCTACAGTCTGAGCTGGAATCCTGTAAGGAGCTGCAGGAGCTGGAGCCTGAGAATAAATGTGAGGCCCCATTCTGTGAGAGCCTGCTCCCAGAGCCCACTGAGGAAGCCCCTTTCCAGTGTGGCCCTGAGAGGAAAGCAGGAGGGCCTCAGGTGGATGGGAGCAGAGGAGGATCCAGGAGAAAGCCTCCTTTTCCCCGCCCTTTCCTCAGGGTGCCTGCTCACCATCATCCTGCTGATGCGGGCACTGGACCCCCTGCTGTATGAGAAGGAAACCCTGCAGTACTTCCAGACCCTGAAGGCAAGTTGTGCCTGCAGAACAGGCCAGGGGGAGGCCCAGCAGGCAGGAGGCAGGCAGCTGACATGCATACCCTGCCCACCCCATCCACTCCAGGCCGTGGACCCCATGCGGGCAGCATATCTGGATGACCTGCGCAGCAAGTTCTTGCTGGAGAATAGCGTGCTCAAGATGGAGTATGCCGAGGTGCGCGTGCTGCACCTGGCTCACAAGGTATGGGTGCTGCATGTGCCTTCCCCTGGCCCTCATCCTGCTGGCCTCCCCATGTCCCTGATGTTGCCCCAGTCTCAGATGCTTTGGTGGACTTCCTCCCAGTCAAGATGGAGTTCATTCCTTCCTCCCAGCTTGCTCCTCTTCCAGTCTTGCTTTCTGTCACTCAGCCCATTTTTCTTTTTGTCACTCACTTTCAAATCCCGAGTCACCAGGACCTCCCTGTGCTGCTCCTTCCCCAGTCTGCTCACAGCTTCATCTTCCTTCACAGTGACACCTACCCCGCCCCTCGTACACATTCCAGCACGTCTGACCTTGGAGCAACCCCCAACACCTGAAAGTCAAATAGTTTCCAGAGATTCCTGAGAAGCTGTCCAGGCTCCACTTTTCCTAGTCCTTCCCAACACATCAGTTTCATCACATCACTACAACGTACCTCCGTTCCTGCCAAAGTCATCTCCTGCCTCATCAGAATCCAGTCCCTATGGTGTCTTTCTTTGCCCAGCACCCTCCATTGGTCCTTGTAGCTCCAAGCTCCAGGCCTCCTCCTCCTTGCCCACTCCACTGGTCACTCCACTCGCAGCACTCACTGTCTGTCCCACGTCTGTGACATGTAGCATGTACTACTGTGGGCTATAAGGTCAACTTCCCACCTGCTCCCATCCTCTCCTTGGCTGGGATCCCCAAGGGCTTGTGGGGCACAGAGGGCATGTGCCTAATAAACACCGGCTGAGGACCCTCTCCCAGGTCTCCTAGGAAACCCATCACTTCCTTCCTCCCTTCACCCCCAGGATCTGACAGTGCTCTGCCATCTGGAGCAGCTGCTCTTGGTCACCCATCTTGACCTGTCACACAATCGTCTCCGAACCCTGCCACCTGCCCTGGCTGCCCTGCGCTGCCTTGAGGTAAAGTACCCATGTCTCCATTGCTGTCATGGGTGGTTCTTTTCCCCTTCCTTTACCTCAGAAGTCTGCTTATCTTACAAAGAGATGTCCAGGACCTTCCACCCCTAACAGATGACTGTGTGCCTTCTGCCTCCATCACCCAGCCTGAGCTCCTCTGTGTGCTATGGGCCCATCAGCCTGAGCTTCTCAGTTGCTGAACCATCCCTGGCTGATGGCGCCCACCCTGCCTTGTGCCTTCCTACCCCCAGGTGCTGCAGGCCAACGATAATGCCATAGAGTCCCTGGACGGCGTCACCAACCTACCCCGGCTACAGGAGCTGCTATTGTGCAACAACCGTATCCTTCCTTCTGGGTGCCTTTCAGACAGTGGGTAAGGTGAAGTGCCACCCTGGGAGGGACAGACAGCAGGCAAGGTACATGCCACCCTCTGGCAGGTCAGGAGACAGGGACTCTATAGTGTGAGTTGAAGAGGGAGAGCCTGGGGCTCTTGGGCTATCACTGACTTGCACTGGTGGAGTTTTGCAGTGTAAGTGACTTCCTCAAGTCAGAGTTCACAAATGGGCAGCCTGCAGATGTTCTTCAGGACCATGTAGTTTTTTAAAAATCAGGAAGTTTCATACTTAAAAAAAAATCTGAGTTCTGATTCCTCTCTTGGAAGTTAGAGCAACCTTTCACTAGTATTTTCATGCAGCAGCCCTGCCCTGGATCATTGCTGAATAGTAAATGTCTCTTTGGACCAGGCTAGATTTCCACCTTACCATCCCCTCCACCACTCCTCTCATGCTATACCAGCCTGCGTGGGGTGCTGCGGCTCATTCTTTTCTGTCTAACCCTGTGCGCAGGCATTTGCAGTCCCTGCCTAGAGCCTGACTCCCTCCAGGGAGCATATGAGATGCCCATCAAACATACTTCCAGGCAGCAGTCCCCAGCTCTTGAGGGCACACAGGAGCAAATGGATTGGGAGGAACCTGCCAAGCTTTCCTTGACTCTCCTGCACAAGGCCTCCAGCAGCCTGCAGCACTCCAGCCTCTTGCCTCCTGCCCCAGGCTGGTCCTCCTCAACCTGCAGGGTAACCCGCTGTGCCAATCAGTGGGCATCTTGGAGCACCTGGCTGAACTGCTGCCTTCAGTGAGCGCTATCCTCACCTAAGAGGCCCTGCGGCCTCCCCTTGCCCTCTAATTTATTGGGACTGAATAAAGAATGGAAAGGCGTCCTCAGGCTACCAAGCTGTTATTGTGGCTACCACTTCACCATTGCCTTCATCACTACGGCCATTTATTTTGGCCTTGGTTGCCCCATATGAACCTGGGCCTCCACAGTGTGGGGTTTCTGCAGGTCAAAAATCTTGGGAAAAGAAAGGGAAGAGACATGGGGAGACGTGCGGTGTTCCTGGCTCATTCTTTCTGCACCATCCTGCTGTTTCCTCTCAGGGACAGCCAAGACCTCAGTGTTTGGGCAGAATTCAGGATGGGGGCTGAGCTTGAGTTTACCTTCTGGTTTAGGGTGGGACCTGGATCTGGGTCTAGATTCCAAGCAGGAATAGGGCTTGGGATCAGGTTCTGGTTCTGGCTGAGCTGCAGAGCAGCTGTGAGTTTCTCCAGCTGGAAGCATCATACAAGATTTTCCTGTGACCCCTGCACTTTTCAGATGTCCTCTCTGCCCTGGCCCCATTCACCACAGCCAGGGAGGTTCAGGGGCTTCGTGTTCCCAGGAGTGGGCCAGTGTGCCCTTGCTCTGCCCTGCCTTAACAACTGTATCAGTCCCCGTGAGTAGCATTCTATGGTTGAAGTACCCTTGAGCATACTTGATACCATTTGATTCTCACAGGCTTTCAGGGATCGGATGATTAGGCCCAGTGTACTGATGAGGAAACTGCCATTGAGACTTACCCAAGCTTGCTGAACAAATCAGCACTGAAACCAAAGTTGTCTCTACCCTTGGTCTAGGACTCTAGACTCACGTTCTTGCTTCTGTATTGCTAAGGAATGATTGGGCAGCAGCCTGGCCTCGGCTCCTTCAGGTCCTGAGCTGAGTGTCTACTCCCATGGTGTCCCCCCACACATACCATGTACACACCTTGTCCTGACCTAGAGAGGCCTGAGTGTTGGTGGGGGAGGGGACTGGCTCAGGGGTTAGGGCACTAACTCAAATATGGCTGGGTGGGGAGAGAAAGACTAATTTTAGCTAGAGAGAGTGTGACAAAGGCATCTTCCTGGTTGTCTGGGATCCACCTGGGCCCACATGTGTTCACACACATCCGGACAACCAGGGCCCTGCCCCTTCCCGTATCTGCAGTGATGCACAAACACCCAGCCCCAGCACGAAGCCCTCTGGCTGACCTGCCTGGAAGTTTGATTTCCCCTGGTGTGCCAACTGAGGGTGTTGGAAGTGGGGCAGACCTGTTCCCCCCCACCTCCCTCCGGGCAGGTTCTGGTGCTGGAAGCTGGACAAGAAAAGGCAGTGTGGGTGTGGAGGGCTCCCTGCCAGTTCCTGGGGCCTCTTTGTCCCCAGTCCCCATGGCACCGCCCTGCCTGATGCATGACCAAACAGCCCCTCCTGTATTCTGCTTCCTTGTGTCTTTTTATCAACCTATTTTCACTGTCTTCTGCTCGGCGGCCCATGGGCAGAGCTGGGATACCAATGGGAAGGAAGGAAAGAAGGAAGAAGCCCTTGGCTGATGAGCCCAAGAACAAGACCCGAGGAGAGCCTCCCTGAAGATGGATAGCCTCCTCCTCTCTGCCCTGGGATTGCCTCAGTGCCATCCTTGGTGTTTCCCCAGTTCTGGGGTGGAGTTAGGATGCACACAGGACAGGGGCCTGAGCCGGTTGGTCTGGATTCCCAGGAAGAATTCCAGGTTGGAAAAAGGAATCCTCAAGTCCAGCTGAGCAGAGACTCCTCGCAGTGAGAGAAGGGGGTAATCTGCACCCCTGGAAGGGGGACTCAATTTCCACCCAAGCCTAAGTGGAAAGACCTAAGCCTCCCTCAAGCCCCCAGGCTACAGCGGGTGTGGGGGTGTAAAGTGAGATTGCTCCTACTCTGATCCCCCTAATCCAAAACTTGGGGGTCAGCTCACTCATGCCTGGGGCTGTAAAGCAACTGAGGAAGAAGGGACAGACTTAGGGGTTGGGGAAGTCAGAATATCTGGTAGAGCCAGCAGGTTAGGGGTTAGCTGGTGGAGCCAGTCTGAGGGCCTGGCTGCTGATGTCACCAGTCTGCAGCCTGGGATTCTGGGACCTCCCTGGGCAGGATGAGTTCCAGGACCAGGCCCCTGGGCCAGTTTCACAGGGCTGAGCCTGGCCTGGGTTGTGTGGAGCTCGGCAGCAGGAGCCTGTGAGAGCCAAGGTAGGCAGCCTGTGCATGGGACCAGAAGGTCGGCCAGATGGGGCTGTGGGTGGAAGGGCCTGCCTGCCCCACTGTCCTTGCAGCTTCTTCATTTGGGAGAAGGGGCTCCTCACATGCCCCGTCTGGTAGTTATCAGCCTGGTGCCAGGAGTCATCACACCCTGGTGGATCCCACTAAAGCCCAGCCTAAGCCAGACAGATCTCACCCCCGTTTCCTCTCTAGCATCTTCTCCCTGTTCCCCGCCCAGAGGCCTGGCCTCTTTCCTCCACCCCCCACAGCAGTTTGGCCCCTCCCTCTCACAAAGTCACTTACCAGGCCTGTCCCGGCAGCATCCAGTCCATAGGTCCCGTCCCATCCATCCTGACCTGTTCCATCTTGACCCCAGGACCCAGCGCTGTGGTTGCCAACACTGCTGCCAGGTGAGGGACTCCCATGGGCAGCAAGGTGCTGAACCCAGGCAGCCCATACTATCAGGGGCCATGCTGGGATCCAGCAAGGTGGGGTGTGGGCCAGCCGTATACCTGTCAGCCCCAGCTAGGCTGTTCCCCAATACCAAGACTCTGCTTTCCCTGGGGGGCACAGGCTCCAGGCACCTGCCATGCCCTACTCTTCCTGGCAGCCCCAAATGAAGTCTTCCCAGACTTGGGAATGCCAAGGACCCCAGGCCTTGGGGCCCCATCTGTCTTCTGAGAAGCCTTGAGTTGGGGGATTTCTGCTAAGAAATGAGTCCTAGAGGCTGTGAGCGTTGTGCACCTCTACCTTTAAACTGTGGAGCCAGCAGGTGGAGGGACCAGGCCCAGGGATGCTGGAGCACTCTGATGTGTGTGCAGCTGGGTCTTGAGGCTGTGACATGCGTCCATGTAGGGAACTGTGCATTTCCTGGGACAGATCTTTGAGTGGGTTTCTCCACTGGGGAGTTTTTTGGATGTGGTTTGGTGGGGTTGAGGGGAAGGCTTTTCTCTGCAATGTGAGAAGCTTCTCTGGGTGTCTAAATGGTCTTCAGGGAAGGTCTCTGGATGTGTCTGGGGAATCTCTGGGCCATGGTGGGACTGTCTCAGTCATCAGGCTGCGACTGAATCAGCTGCCTGGATGGAGGGTTTCTGGGTCGGCCGGCTGGGGCTACCTGGGTTAAAAAGCCACCTCTGCCTCTTCCTAACAGGCATGTTGGACAGGCCACGTTCCGACGTGGGCCGTTGGGGTGGGAACCCCTGGCATCCCCCTAGCACGCCTTCGCCTTCGCCAGAGCCAGAGCCAGAGAGACGCTCTCGCAGAGGAGGCCGTTCCTTCTGGGCTCGCTGCTGTGGCTGCTGTTCGTGCCGAAATGCAGCAGATGATGACTGGGGACCTGAACCCTCTGACTCCAGGGATCGAGGGTCCAGCTCTGGGACCCGAAGGCCTGGCTCCCGGGGCTCAGACTCCCGCCGGCCTATCTCCCGGGGCAGTGGTGTCAATGCAGCTGGAGATGGCACCATCCGAGGTGAGACCAGTCTGTCCTCAGCTGAGAGCTGAAAGGCTTTAATGGGACCAGAGACTCATTCTGGCATTTCTGGGGGGATCGGAGGCTAAAGATGAGGGCCTGGGTTCCCATGGGGCTTCACTGACCCGAAGCTGTGCCCTTGCAGAGGGGATGCTAGTAGTGACTGGTGTGGACTTGATGAGCTTGCGCTCAGACCGGAACCGCAGAGAGCACCACACAGACGAGTATGAGTACGACGAGCTGATAGTGCGCCGCGGGCAGCCTTTCCACGTTCTCCTCCTCCTGTCCCGGACCTATGAATCCTCTGATCGCATCACCCTTGAGTTACTCATCGGTCAGTGGGGCCTGGAGTGGGAAGGCCCTATATTTGGTGGGGAGAGGCTGGCATTAGGGTCAGAGAGGTCTTTAGGATCCTCCCTGCCCCACTCCTCACCTCTGCCAGATAAGGCAGGTGCAAGTGTGTGGGTGTGCCCCTGGGGGCGTGTCTCAGAGAGGGTCTTGGTGTTTCCCTGTTTTCCAAGCCCACCCTCCTTAAGCCTCCTGCGGCATCCGTCTCAGAGTACTCCTCTTCAAGGCCTGCCTTGGTGCCTTCTTTGGCATTGCTGCTCTGTCCTTTCGGTGTCTGTTCTCTCTTCTCTCTGTCTCTCCCTCTCTCCTTTGATGCCCCTCATCTCTGCCAATTTTCTCTCTCTGTCTCTGTCCCTCTGTCCCTCTGTCCCCATGACCCAGGGCAGGTGCCTCCCTCACTGCGTTGCTTGGTGGAGCTTGACTTCTCAGGCTGGTGATTATGCTGCTGCCTGGGGCAGGCGACTCCTTTTACCCTTTGATTAGGGCTTAACCTTGCCCACCTCAGCCTCTAATTTCCCTACCAGGGATGCCCTGGGCTCTGGAAACTGCAGCCCCAGGGAACAGGCAGGGTTGGCCTTCAGGATCTGGACTGCCCTTTCTTTTTTTTTGAGACAGAGTCTTGTTCTGTCGCCCAAGCTGGAGTCCAGTGGTGCAGTCTCGGCTCACTGCAACCTCCTCCTCCTGGATTCAAGTGATTCTCCTGCCTCAGCCTTCCAAGTAGCTGGAACTACAGTCACATACCACCACGCCTGGCTAATTTTTTGTATTTTTAGTAGAGATGGGGTTTCACCATGTTAGCCAGGATGGTCTTGATCTCCTGACCTCATGATCTGCCCTCCTTGGCCTCACAAAGTGCTGGGATTACAGGCATAAGCCACTGTGCCCAGCCTGGACTGCCCTTTCATATGGGGCAGGTGGATCTGCACCCAGCCAGGATGGCTCTGCCCCTCCAGCCCAGGCACTGCAATAGTCAGGCAGGCAGAAGGTGACAAGAGCCCTGATCTCTCCTCCCCACCTCAGAGTTCAGTGTCAGGGGAACAGGTTTGGGATGTTGGACTAGAGCCCTGCCCTAACATGTGGGCAAACATCAGGTGGGAACAGAGCTCCTCTGAGGAAGATTGTCAGAGAATAAGGCGATGGCCTAAAGCAGGGACATACACAGTGGCTCATACACATTTTGGGTGGGGCCAGAGAAGTCCCAGGCTCCATCCCTTCTCCTTAGGGAGGCCTCACCAGCTAATTGCCGATTCCCTACTCTAGGAAACAATCCCGAGGTGGGCAAGGGCACACACGTGATCATCCCAGTGGGCAAGGGGGGCAGTGGCGGCTGGAAGGCCCAGGTGGTGAAGGCCAATGGACAGAATCTGAACCTGCGGGTCCACACCTCCCCCAGTGCCATCATCGGCAAGTTTCAGTTCACAGTCCGTACACAATCAGATGCTGGGGAGTTCCAGTTACCCTTTGACCCCCGCAACGAGATCTACATCCTCTTCAACCCCTGGTGCCCAGGTGAGCAGCTGGGGTTTGGAGCAGAGGGTAGGTGGGAGGGAAGGACAGGGCAGGGCTTCCTGCCCTCCGATGCAGCAGGGTGCCTAGGTGGCTGACCCCAGGAGAAGCCAGCCTCCCATCGTGCAGATGAGAGGACCGAGGCCTGATGCAGAAAGGTGGCCAGCCCAGGGTCCCACAGCCAACCATACCGCTCCTGGTGAAGGCCTCGGCTATGGCCAATCTCCTCCACCATCTGTCATGCTCCCCCTGTCCTCACGCTGCAGTCCTGTCAGGCTAGGAGCATCCCCACCTTTTTTCTGTGGACGCAAGTCCTGTAGAACTGGCCAAGGAGTAGGTGAGGCCCAGGGAGAGAACTGGAGGGAACCAATTTTGTATGTTCTGGGGACACAGAGGACATTGTGTATGTGGACCATGAGGATTGGCGGCAGGAGTATGTGCTTAATGAGTCTGGGAGAATTTACTACGGGACCGAAGCACAGATTGGCGAGCGGACCTGGAACTATGGCCAGGTATGGTGTAGCTGGCCAGGGTCACATGCAACCAGGGGAACAGGGGTGGATGTGGGGGCTGTGGTATTGGAGCAGGGTGCTAGCCTAGGGTTCAGGCTGTCACCTCTGCCCTCTGTCCCTCCTACCAGTTTGACCATGGAGTGCTGGATGCCTGCTTGTACATCCTGGACCGGCGGGGGATGCCATATGGAGGCCGTGGAGACCCAGTCAGTGTCTCCCGGGTCATCTCTGCCATGGTGAGCACCCTCACGTCTCTGAGCCCTACTGTGTGTCTGCCTGCTCCCTCACCACACCCCCACCCTCATCCTGCCCTTTCTGGATTCCTCCAGGACCTCCAGCCCTTCCCCTGCACTTGCAAAGGATACCTCAGGAAGGGGTCTCGCCTCCTCTTCTCTCCCTTGACTGCCCCCTACCCTGCCTTTCCTGGCTCCTGTCCCAGCTTCTGTGGAATGTAGGGCCAAACCCAAAACTTGGCACACCCAGGATTCACATTCCTGTGTCAGAGCCTGGGTGGGAGGGAGGGGGCAGATGGCTCAGGGAAGGGCTGGGTGGCGCTCAGGCTGATGTCTGGATTATGAGGCATTTAGGGGCGAGGGGTGGTTGCAGGGTCGGGGCTGGGCCAGGGATCATATGGCAGGTCCTGAGCCCCTCCTCCACATCAGCCCCGTCTCATCCTGTCCTGGGCAGGTGAACTCCCTGGATGACAATGGAGTCCTGATTGGGAACTGGTCTGGTGATTACTCCCGAGGCACCAACCCATCAGCGTGGGTGGGCAGCGTGGAGATCCTGCTTAGCTACCTACGCACCGGCTATTCTGTCCCCTATGGCCAGTGCTGGGTCTTTGCTGGCGTGACCACTACAGGTAGTAGAAGGACTGGGACAGGAGTGGCCTGGGCCCTACAGGGAGAAGGGAGGAAAGCCGGGCTCCACTGTCACCCAGCCCTGCCCGGCTGTGGCTACAGTGTAGGACGAGGCAGGTAGATGATAGGCTGGCCTTAATTATCATTAATTACTGTTAACACAGAGAGAGGGAGAGGGGACAAGCAGGGACTGAGCCAGGCAGGTGGCCTAGCTTCCCCTGACCCCAAGTGCTTTGTGGCCCAAAGGCCTTCTGACCCCAGTTACCCTGAACCTGGCAGTCCGTGCCCAGCGTGGCAATCCCAGTTTCCCTTCTCCCCCGATATTCCTGACACAATACATCACTTGCCCTCACCCATGCCTTGAACGCCAACCTTGGCTCCTCCACAGTGCTGCGCTGCCTGGGTCTGGCCACCCGTACTGTCACCAACTTCAACTCCGCCCATGACACAGACACATCGCTTACCATGGACATCTACTTTGATGAGAATATGAAGCCTCTGGAGCACCTGAACCATGATTCTGTCTGGTGAGCTGGGATGGACTGCCCGTCTCTGCTAAAGAACGATGACCTGAGCCTTAGAGGTGGAGGGTGGGCAGGGCCAGGGCGCTGGGGAAACCCTGGACTCCTGACCCCGGGGCTCAGACCCAGCCCTCCCTCCATGTCTATCCAGGAACTTCCATGTATGGAATGACTGCTGGATGAAGAGGCCCGATCTGCCCTCGGGCTTTGACGGGTGGCAGGTGGTGGATGCCACGCCCCAGGAGACTAGCAGTGGTGAGGCAGCCCCCGCCCCCTGACTCCCCACCGTGCCCCTGCTCATCTTCCCCTCCTGAGTAACATAGTCCAGAGTGTCAGTGCTGGGCTAGGAGAGAGTCAAGCCCTGCAACCCCATGGCTTCTTAAACAGGTTTATCAGCTGAGCCACCAGGTGGCCGTTAGTTTTTACCTTTCTATATAACTCTCTATTTGCCTAAATTTTACTTATTTATAATGGTTTATTTTATTAATCATGGTTAATATAGAAGGGAGTTTCGAAATTCAAAAGATGTAAGAGTATTCAGTGAAAGAGAATCCATATTCACTATTCTTACTTGCTTTTTAACTTACATATCCTGGAGATAATTAATTGAAGGACCCTTTAAAGTTATTTTTATAAGTAATACATGTTTGGAAGGAAAATAGTATAGAATTGAATAACACAAAATGTAAAGGTTCCCTATTCTCTCTCAGGAGGTATTTGGGTTTTTTTTTTCAAAAATATTTTTAAAGTACATTTCTAGGTTCTACCCCAAACCTGATATATTAGACTTTCCAAGGATAGATGCTAATAATGTATATTTTTGAAAGTTCTTCTGGTGATTCTGAAGATCAACCAGATTTGGGACCCACTCCAAAGGGTGGCCAGAGAGGTGGAGTGATCTCCTCCAGGGCACAGGGCAGTAGGTCAGCAACAGAGCAAGTCTAGTCTCACATATACTCTTGCTTTCACCAACTTCCTTCCTATCTGTTCCATTGCTCACTGGGAGTTATATATACAGTATCGAAAAAAATCAGGGCTTAGATAGGTTTAAAGAAGAAAACAGCCCTTATGACCCAGCCTTAATATATAATCACTGTTGATATAACCCACAGGTCTCTCTTCTGTGTCCATATACACATGTTTCTGCAGAAATTAGAACTATTGTACCCTCTGTTCTCAAACAAACCCCCACCCCTTCCTACTGTGATACTCCAGCCCCAGGCCACCAGGCCCGCCCTGCCAGCTGCCTTGTGTCCAGCCTCTCCCTTATTCACCCTAGGTCAGAGAGCCCTCCCCAGCCTACATTCCTCCCCTGGCCTCTTCCCAGTGCACTGCCTCTCACTCATCTATATGAACGCTGCCCCCTGAGCTGTGCAACCCAGTGATGCCTGTGATGCTGAAACGGCCTGGCCCAGACATTGGCAGATCTGAGCTCTTGCCCCCATCTCTGGGAGGAAGTGTGGTGGACATCAGGCAGGGAGCTCAGGGACAGCCAGACGGGGGCTTGATCCCAGCCTGATCACTTCTCAGATGTGTGCTCTTGGGCTAGGACCTCACACTTTTAGGCTTTGGTGGTTTGGATGCAATTTGGGGATAGTATATACCATATAGGGTGATTGGGAGGATTAAATGAGGACTCCTGTATCTGAAGGGACCAGCAGCATGTCGGGAGCATAGTAGCTACTCAAAAAGTCTTAGCTCCTTTCATTCTCCCTGCACCGCCTGTCTTGTGGAATCCTGGCATGCACTTCGGCTTGCTTTCCCTGTCTTTAAAGGAGTGTGTAGTGTTAGGTGTTGTCTAAGATTCTTTCCTGTTGGATGGTACTAACTTCCCACTCCGCCCTCCCCTGCCAGGCCTCCTCCTGTCAGCCTGTCTCTTCTAGGCAGCCTCCTGAGTATGATAAAGGCAGACTCTATTTCCCACCAGCTCCCCCAAGTAGAGAAGGCAGCAGGCTGCAGAGCTGTGGGTTGTTCTGAATCTTTCTGGAGTGGTGGTGGCGGCGGTGTCCTTGCACTCCCAGCCAGCAGGCAGGGCCGCTGGGGACTGGGTTGGTTATAATAAAGGATGGGGGGGTCCTGTCCTCCGGGGATCACAGATAGTGGACATCCAGTGTCAGCCAGCCATGAAAGAGTATACCCAGGACTTGGTTATCAGGCAGGCTAGTCCGCACATCTGTACCCTGCCCCTGTCCTCCAGCAGAGCAGCCTGGGCTGAGGAAAGTGGACTGAGAGCCAAATGGAGCTGCTCTCTCTTTGTTTTCCATCCCTGTGTTGCACTAGCTGTCAACTGACTTCCAAGCGCTTGGGTGAGGGCCTATGACCTTGTTCCAGAGGCCACCAGGCAGTGGGACCAGGCCTGGGGCCCTGTATGGACCTTACCCAAGGTCTGAAGGTCCCTCCCGGCCTTCTCAGATCTCTCACCTGTGTCCTCACTCCCTAGGCATTTTCTGCTGTGGCCCCTGCTCTGTGGAATCCATCAAGAATGGCCTGGTCTACATGAAGTATGACACACCTTTCATTTTTGCTGAGGTGAGGGCTGGGCTCTGGGTACTTTCTTGGGCTTCAGTCCTGGGTTCTCTGGTCCCGACTTCACCGCTGACTGACCAGCTGTGCAATCCTGGGCAAGTCACTCATTATACAAGTCAGTTTCCTCACCTGTAAAATGGGATAATCAAGGCTGCCTTGCTTCCTGTACTCAGGATCAAAAGAGATAATGGGTATGAAACTGCTTCACTAGTCATAAAGTCAGCCAATGAGCGTGAAGTTTGACTGTTATTATTACCAAAGTACACTGCAAGGAGCCTCCCAGACCAGCTTCTTCCCTGCACTATGGCCTCGTCTGGCTCATCTTGGAAAGTTGCCCCTTGGCTCTGCCGGGAAGCTCCCATCCTTGGGACCATGCCCTGTCCCCAGCTCCAGGGATCAGGGGAAGGAGGCCAGGAATCAGGCATCCTCAGTCTCTCTGGCTCACTCATTCCTGCTCACTCCCACCCCCCCACCCCCGCCACAGGTGAATAGTGACAAGGTGTACTGGCAGCGGCAGGATGATGGCAGCTTCAAGATTGTGTATGTGGAGGAGAAGGCCATTGGCACACTCGTTGTCACCAAGGCCATTGGCTCCAACATGCGGGAGGACATCACCTACCTCTATAAGCATCCAGAAGGTACCATTCCCCCAACCCAGCCAGCTCTGGGCCCCATGACAAGTGTTCCTGCTGAGTGCTCACCCACCCAAGTGGGAATTGGAACCTCACCCTTGACCCTCAACCCCCAGGCTCAGACGCGGAGCGGAAGGCAGTAGAGACAGCAGCAGCCCATGGAAGCAAACCCAATGTGTACGCTAACCGGGGCTCAGCTGAGGATGTGGCCATGCAGGTGGAGGCACAGGACGCAGTGATGGGGCAGGATCTGAACGTCTCCGTGATGCTGACCAATCAAAGCAGCAGTCGTCGCACAGTGAAACTGCACCTCTACCTCTCAGTCACCTACTATACTGGTGTCACTGGGACCATCTTCAAGGAGACAAAGAAGGAAGTGGCGCTGGCACCGGGGGCCTGTAAGTGTTCCTTACCCAACCCTACCCACTGGATGGCTGGGCACCCCAGGGCTGTGGAAATGGAGACCCCAGGAGCAGCGGGGAGTCCCTGCGGGAGGCAGTGTGTAGGAAAACGGGCCTCAGTGATGCCATGCCTCTTCTCCCCAGCGGACCATGTGACCATGCCTGTGGCCTACAAGGAATACCGGCCCCACCTTGTGGACCAGGGGGCCATGCTGCTCAATGTCTCAGGCCATGTCAAGGAGAGCGGGCAGGTGCTGGCCAAGCAGCACACCTTCCGTCTGCGCACCCCAGATCTCTCCCTCACGGTGAATGCGTGTTGCCGGGGCGTGAGGGGTGATTAAGGAGTGAAGGCCAGGGGATAAGGACATCAGAGGAGGGCGCTAAGCCAGGAGCAGGCTGGCCTGATGAGCCTTTGTAGGAGAAAATCAAGGACTGGCTCTGGGGCCTCAGTTTCCTCATCTGCAGCATGGGATCTTATGTCTCTGGTTATGGGACAGCCTTTGTTGGGGAGTAGGTTGGAGTTTCTTCTCTGACTTTCATTCTCTTAGGAGGATAAATGTGGGGTTCAGGAGGAGATTTTGCTTCTAAGCAGCTTCTCCTCTGGTGCAGTATATGGTCCCCATGTGTTTGGCCAGAGTCTCTGATGTGGGGGATGGGCCTATTTTTCTCTCAGTTACTGGGAGCAGCAGTGGTTGGCCAGGAGTGTGAAGTACAGATTGTCTTCAAGAACCCCCTGCCCGTCACCCTCACCAATGTTGTCTTCCGGCTTGAGGGCTCCGGGTTACAGAGACCCAAGATCCTCAACGTTGGGTGAGTCTGGCCTCTCCCCTGCCCCTGTTGCCACTCTGGCATTCCCTGCAGGCTGCCCTGGCTCCCAGCTTTGCTTCCTCTCTGTCTGGATAAGTATGTTCTGTCAGGGCCCAACCAAGCATCTTGGGGCCAGCTGGCAATACCTCCCAGCTCAGTCCCACCAGCCTTTAGGGAGACCTCCTAGGCACCTGGTGCTGTGCTGTGTCCCTGCCCTGCCTCACTATCTAATTAGGGAGCTAAAGCCCCACATAGGAATGGTTAGTAACTCATTGCTAATATAGTTGCCCAGTGCTGAATTGACCAGGCACTTTCAGGAATATTATCTCCTTTGGACAAAAAACTCTTTAAAGTACATTAAAAGGTCAGGTGAGGTGGCTCATACCTGTAATCCCAGCACTTTGGCAGGCTGAAGTGAGTGGATCTCTTGAGCCCAGGAGTTGGAGACCAGCCTGGGCAACATGGTGAAACCCTGTCTCTGTAAAAAAATTTTTAAAAATTAACCAGGGGCCAGGCATGGTGGTTCATGCCTGTAATCCTAGCACTTTGGGAGGGTGAGGCGGAGACCATGGTGAAGCCCCATCTCTACTAAAAAGTACAAAAATTAGCTGGGTGCGTGGTGGCACGTGCCTGTGGCCCCAGCTACTTGGGAGGCTGAGGCAGGAGAATTGCTTGAACCCAGGAGGCGGAGATTGCAGCGAGCCGAGATTACACCACTGCACTCCAGCCTGGCACCTGGCGACAAAACAAGGCTCTGTCCCAAAAACAAACAAACAAACAAACAAATTAACCAGGTATGGTGGTGTGTGCCTGTTGTCCCAGCTACTTGGGAGGCTAAGGTGGGAGGATCACCTGAGCCCGGGGAGGTTGAGGCTGCAGTGAGCCATGTTTGTGACACTGTACTCCAGCTTGGGAGACAAAAGTGAGACCCCACCTCTCTCTCTCTCTCTCTCTCTCTCTCTCTCTCTCACACACACACACACACACACACACACACACACACACAAAGTTTTGGAACCCTAAAGATGTGGGTCAGGTCCCAGCTCTGGCACTTACCGGCTATATGCCTTTGGGCAAGCAGCTTCTCTCCTTCGAGGCTGAGTGTTCTCATCTGTAAAGCAGGGATAGCAATCGCCCCTGGACCTAGGGTCTTCTTGGCACAAAGTTAGTACTCCATTGGTAGTTGTTATTTTTATTATTGCCATTATCACCCCCACTCACAGATGGGAAAGCCGGCGGCCATGTCACACACAGTCTCACAGTTTGTAGAAAAACTGTTCTTCCCACTGTGGTGTACACCATGCACAGGCTCTCAAAGCTCATTGCTTATTTTGTGCCATGAGGGCCAAGTAGCAGTTCCAGAGAAGAGAACCCCATCCCTCAGGCTCTTACTGAGCCTATCTGGGCCTGATCCCCAGCTGGGCAAGCCCCTGGGTGCAGTGAGGACACACACATGCTGTGTTCCTGGGCCTGTAGCTGTCATCTCTGGTTCAGACTCACACATGGTCCCCTGTCCCTTCCTAAGAAAAACACAGAGAGAAAGCAGAGCAAGCCAGAGCCTGGCCTTCTAGATCAGCCTTCTGGGACATGGGCAGGCTTCGTCTTCATATAGAGGACTCCTGAGAAAGAGCAATGGCTTGGGGCGGGAAACTGAGGAGAGGAAGCAGAGGATCCTCTGCACATTCTGCCCACCCCTCCCTTACACATAGCAGCTCTCATGGTGGTGGCCACCACCTTCGCCATTAGGCCAAAGCTGAGAAGGCAGCTATGTTGATCTTTGCCCCAGCCTGGGCCCTTGGAAATACTTTGATGTGTCACAAAGGAGGGCTTTCCTCATGTCACCCTACCAGGGTCTCTGGCAGCTCAGCAAGGGGAGTCTCTGACGCCCCCCCGGATAGCCTGCTCTGCTAGTCTTGCCTAGCAGACATCTCTTACCCACACCCTCACCATGGTAGGGAGAGGTTCCTTGTCCTAAGGGATCCCCAGAGCTGGACTTGCCTCAGCAGCCCCACCAGGCCTTTGCTTCTTGCCCCTGCCTGGAAGTAAGGAAAGGGCCGCTGTGTTGAGTGTTGGGGGACCTGTCCCATCTTTAGCTATAGGGCTTATATGAGTCTCCCTATAGTAAAAGACAGGGTTGGATAATAGTTTCTCAAGGCAGGTCCTCCCTGGACAGTCTGTGGCTCCATAGCTGCTGTGAGCCCAGACCAGAGCCTCTAGAACAACTGGGAGCCTCCAGGGGGACATCTCTGAGCTGCTGGTTCAGATACCTAAGATTCCAAGATGGGTGTACTTTGCCTCTCATTTGCACATCAAAGGCTGTGGCATGGAACCCCATTATAGCATAAGGTGTGCCACCCCAGCGTGGTGACTGGCCACTTAATAAACATTCTAGAACTCACTCCTCCAGATGGCTGTTGTCACCACCAAAAGCAGTCACCAGGGAGGCTAGAAGTCTATTCCAAACCCTTTCTGGGAATTTCCCTCAGAGCCTGAATCATATCCTCTAGAATGTCATCAGAGTGGTCACTCTGCCTTAGAGAATAGATCTAACTTTGGGGACAAACCTGAAGTCATTTAGAGCTAAGACAATAAGACAAGTGAACAGGTGGGTAACTGCCCTTTTCCATCAGAACCAAGGCACACTGTGAAGGAAGGACAGGCTGACTGTTTCATCACTGTGTGTGTGTGTGTGTGTGTGTGTGTGTGTGTGTGTGTGTTTTAATGGCCCTGAGGAAGAGTCCAGGAGGAGTTTTTTAAATTTTCGAGCCCAGGGAATATGATTGAACAAGTACACAATTGGATTTTCATTTCAATGAAAATCTCATTTCAATGTTTAAGTTCTGGTGTCCATGTTGGGGAGTTGGTTTCATGACCAACTCAGTTCCAGGAACATCCCAGTTTTAGTAGATAGCTTGTACTCAGCTTCAACTCACAAAAGAGGTGTGGTAAAGTTCCCACCTCACAATGAGACCAGAGCAGGGAGAGATCTTGACATTTCCACCTAGAAAACAGTTTCTCTTGGAAATAGTTATTGCAATGTAAAGGTTACTTTCTGAAATATTACAGTTCAATTTATGGTATAGATTAAATAGACTTCTGAAGGCTAGTTGAGCTTGAACAACCTTGAATCTTTTATGTATGAAAAAGTGAGCAAAAATTAAGAATGCAAATTTGTAAGCAGTCAGGACATAGCCTATCCATTAAGTTATAGACTTACTATCATACTACATTCTATTATATATCCCTACTTCCCTCCTTCACGGAGCTCAGAAGTACCTTCAGGACAATCAGATCCCACTCCTCCTTTTACTTTCATTTCCATTTTATGACCCAGAAAGTGAGGATCAGAGAAGTTAAGTAGCTTCTCCTAAACCTCACAGCTAACAAGTGGTAGAAGAGGGAACAGAGTGGTCCAGGGAAACTGCTCAGAACCAGACTCCAAATGCTTTTTTTTTTTTTTTTTTTGAGACAGAGTTTCCCGCTTGTTATCCAGGCTGGAGTGCAATGGCGCAATCTCGGCTCACGGCAACCTCCGCCTCCTGGGTTCAGGCAATTCTCCTGCCTCAGCCTCCTGAGTAGCTGGGATTACAGGCACGCGCCACCATGCCCAGCTAATTTTTTGTATATTTTTTAGTAGAGACGGGGTTTCACCATGTTGACCAGGATGGTCTCGATCTCTTGACCTTGTGATCCACCCGCCTCGACCTCCCAAAATGCTGGGATTACAGGCTTGAGCCACCGCGTCCGGCCCAAGCCAAATGCTTTGCCCTGAAAAGAACTCATCCTTGGAGTTAGGGATGTTAGCTCATTCTCTTAGAGGACAACAGTGACTGTACAAGTTCTATGTCTGGAGACGGTCCCCAAGGGCAGGCTTGGGTTAATAGAGGGCCAGAGGTAAGGTTTAGGCAAAGGCAGGAAGGACAGATTCCCACAGGCATAAGCAAATGCAATAAATGCAATAATGTTCAGTGCATAAAGTGAAACATGCAGATTGCTGGAGGAGCTCAGAGAAGGGTGAGATTCCTTTTCCTAGAGGCAGGAGGTGCTCAGGGGAGCCCTCACTGAGAAGTGGTATGTCAGGCCTTGGAGGAAAAGTAGGCCTTCACAAGTCCACCCAGGGTGGGGAGGCAGAGCTGGATGCTCATTCAACACAAGACAGACTGCAAAGCATGACTGTGGAGGTGAGTCTGGTTTGTCTGGGGAAGAAGGCATTAGGTTGCTCAGCAGGAGGAATGGTGGGGGATGATGAGGCTGTGCTCATAGCAGCGGCTGAGTCACAGTGAGCCTGTGTGTCAGGTTAGAGAGCCGGGATCTCATGCCACAAGCACCAAAGGAGCCAAGCCCTTGAAGGATTTAGTTCACCTCTGAGTGGTTAGCAGAACAGAATACAATAGTAGGATGGGAGTGAGGGGTCCCATTAGAGGACTAGTGAAATCATGATTCCCAGGGAAGGTCTGGGAATCAAGTTTTCAGAGGCCCATGTGGAAAGGAGAAAATGAAAACACTGTAGTAGAGTATGTGTGTGTGTTGTGGTTTATGCACCCGCCTGTCACACACACACACACACACAAGGGTTTATGTCCATTTAAAGATGTCTGTTGTCTGTTCTTGGGAAGGGTTTTTCTTGGAACAATGATCATAGCAAAGAATAATTATGTTTCTTCAACCTATGCTCTTGTCAAAACTGAAAGTATTTGGAAATATTGTATTGGGTTCCCAAAGTCTCATTTTGAAGTTTTCTTCGTTTTGGAAACCCCAGGTGAGATGAGGATATTCTGTTTAGGGCAGGAGCAGTAGTGATGGAGGGGATGGCATGAGAGGCCTCTGGGGTGGCGTCAGCAGTCTTTGTCCAGGTGGATGTGGGGGCAGGGAGGGAGGAGTCCCAGATGATGGGGAGAGTTCCAGCCCAGGCAGCTGGTGGGTGGCTGCTGATCTGGCTATGCAGAGGCAGCCCTGGGGCTCCTGGTCTTGGGTGTGGAAATTCCAGGTGAGCCTGGAAATGTCTGAATGGTTCCACCTCCTGCTTCTTCCTCCTGACTGCCCTGGATCAGTTCTTACTCCCCACTCCACCCCCAATTACTCCAGGCCCATGACCTTGTCTCTCCCCACAGGGACATCGGGGGCAATGAGACAGTGACACTGCGCCAGACGTTTGTGCCTGTGCGGCCAGGCCCCCGCCAGCTCATTGCCAGCTTGGACAGCCCGCAGCTCTCCCAGGTGCACGGTGTTATCCAGGTGGATGTGGCCCCAGCCTCTGGGGACAGAGGCCTCTTGTCAGATGCTGGAGGTGACAGTCACCTGGGAGAGACCATCCCTATGGCATCTCGAGGTGGAGCTTAGCCCTGTGCCAAGAGCAATGGGACTGGAGTCAGATAAGCAAGGACACTGCCCCAAGATGGGGGCCCACTGCAGAGCAGCTCACCAGAGCCTAGGTGGGGAGTCCAGGGCTCCTGGAGAGGGAGTCAGTCTTCACTTGCACTGGGGACACAGGTGCTAATAAAATATTTTTTAATGAAGCTGCTGTTCTGTCCATCTTTCAGTCCATGCCACACCAAGACAGATGAAGCCATGGTCTGCCCCAGGGCAGCACATGGCCTTTCAATATCAACTACTGATAGGGGCTGGTGTCCCTCACCAGAGAGGGGGACCACGAAGGAAGTTGAGGCTCAGAGAAACAGAGTCAGGACTCTTTGTATAACTCTCTTCTACCTGGAAATTTTCCTGTGGATGTGTTTTGGAGGATTTTGGCTTTGGTTTGAATGAAACTGTTCCCTTACCTCAGGGTTCTTCAAATGTAGTCTCTAGACCACTTCTATTACAATCATCTGAATGTGTATTAATAATCCAGATATATGGGCCCTAGGACAGACTCTGTGTATCAGAATCCCTGTAGCAGAAGCCCAGAACAAACTCACCAAGAATTTGACTCCTGTGCACACTAAAGATCAAGAACAACACCCTTTCATTTTTCTTCTCAGCTGTTCTTTCTGCATTCCCACTGCCTATATTATTCCTGGGCCAGCAATAGCCATGAGATCGTGCACCTGATATTCTGGTCCTGAATTCACATGTCTTCTTGAACCTTTGAGTTTAGAAGGCTTTCAAGACAAAGGGCTCATGGGGCAGAAAAAAGAGAACTAAAGTTGAGCCGTAAACAGATGAACAAGGTGCACACCTTGAGGCATCAGTAGCATAACATGCACAAGGAAGAAACAAGCCTTTCCCGTAAGGTGCTCCTGCCAGTGGGGGTGACAGAACATTCTAAATACAGTAAATGCATATATCACACTTACGAGGAGCCAGGTTCCAAGCACTTTATGAATTCATTGAATCCTTACAATAGCCTTATGAGATAGGGTCTGCATGGTAGTAGAGGGATGTTCAGGATGCTGAGGGGCCCAGAGAAGGGTGACTCTGCCTGGACTGATGCAGAAAGGCTTCATGAAGGTGATTACCAGATGACCCATGAAAGATGAGAAAAAGTCAAGTCCAAGAGGCAGAGGACAGAGGAATCATCCAACATGTGTGAAGTACAGAAATACGAGATGACACAGTATATTTGAAAAATGCAGACAGCTGGATGAGGACTGGCATATGGGTGCATGATGAGTACAAAGTGGCAACAGATGTGCTTGAAGAAGTAAGCTTGGGCAAGGTCACTAAAAATCCTTTTGCCATATTTAGGAGTCTGGACTTTCTTCTGAAAGTAAGGAGGAGCTTTCAATTAGGGATGATATGATCAGTTTTGCATTTCACAAGATTCATGATGAAAGCAACATAGAAAAGAAATTAGGCCAGGCGCGGTGGCTCAAGCCTGTAATCCCAGCACTTTGGGAGGCCGAGGCGGGTGGATCACAAAGTCAAGAGATCGAGACCATCCTGGTCAACATGGTGAAACCCCATCTCTACTAAAAATACAAAAAATTAGCTGGGCATGGTGGTGCATGCCTGTAATCCCTGCTACTGAGGAGGCTGAGGCGGGAGAATTGCCTGAACCCAGGAGGCGGAGGTTGCCATGAGCCGAGATCACGCCATTGCACTCCAGCCTGCGTAACAAGAGTGAAAGTGTCTCAAAAAAAGAAAGAAAGAAAGAAATTAGAGGGGTTGGGCTGGAGGTAGGAGGACTAGAGTCCTCTCAGGATGAGAGACAGGAGAACCTGAAATGGGATAGAGGCAGTATGAATGAAAAAAAGGGGGGTGAGTTTGAAGGCTGTAGAACTAATTAGACTTGGTAACAGATTCAATTTGGAGAGGAGGGAGGACAGAGAGAAGGGTGGTGGTCCGGGTTTCTGACTCATGGGTGCCACGCACAGAAATATGAAACCCAGGAGGAAGATCATATTGTAAAAGGAAAGATAATGAGCTCTGGTCTTTAGTCTGGCCCCTAACAAGGTTGGGAGTCCTTACTCCTGCCCTCATAAGAAGCTGAACAGACTGAAAGTCAGTAACCTGTTAGATCTATCAGAGAATTGAGGGCACAGAGAAAACTGCTGCCCCTAAAACTGGAGAGACAAAAAGGCAGATACAGAGAATCACGACTTCATAGCAGAAGCCCAGAAACAGAAACTTCTGGGAAACGAGTACCAGGGTAGGAAAACTTAAAGTGTAATTGACTCATGGCTGGAGGTTTAGGGTGGACAAATTTGAAGGCCAAAAAATCTACAGGCATGGTGGCTCAGGCCTGTAATCCCAGCACTTTGTGAAGCTGAGGCAGGCAGATCACTTGAGCTCAAGCGTTCAAGACCAGCTTGGGCAACATGGCAAAACTCCATCTCTACAAAAAAGACAAACAGTAGCTGGGTTTGGTGGCACATGCCTGTAATCCAGCTACTTGGGAGGCTGAGGTGGATCACCTGAGCCTGGGGAGGTTAAGGCTGCAGTGAGCCAAGATCATGACACTGCACTCCAGCCTGAGTGACAGAGTGAGATGGTCTTAAAAAAAAAAAAAAAAAGATTATAGAGGTCCCATTCTTAAGTGGGCACCCCACACTTTTTTGTTTTGTTTTTTGTTTTTTCTTTCTTATTTTTGTTTTGCCCAGGCTAGAATGCAGTGGCACAATCACAGCTCACTACAGCCTCCAATTCCTGGGCTCAAGCGATCTTCCTGCCTCAGCCCAAGTAGCTAGGACTACAAGTGCATACCACCATTTGCCTGGCAAAATTTTTAAATTTTTTTGTAGAGACAAGGCCTCGCTATGTTGCCCAGATTGGTCTTGAACTCCTAGCCTCATGTAATCCTAGGTGTGAGCCATGGCACATGGCCATAAGTTTTACCAGGATCCCACAGTGAAAACCGAAGCCTCTCCTGTGAGTCTGGCAGAGGGGAGGAGGAAAGTAGCCATTTTGAAATACATCCATTGCATTCTGTTCTTGCTCTGTCACCAAGGCTGGATTACAGCTCACTACAACCTCGACCTCCTGGGCTCAGGCAATCCTCCCACCTCAGCCTCCTGAGTAACTGGGGCTACAGGTGTATGCATCCAAGCCTGGTTGGTTTTTAAAATTTTTTTGTAGAGACAGGGCTCTCGCCATTTTGCCCAGGTTGGTCTCAAACTCCTGGGCTCAAGCAATCCACCTGTCTTGGACTCCCAAATTTCTGGGATTATGGGAGTGAGCCACACTTGGCCCTGTATTCCATTCTTAACAATGCCTGCCCTCAGGAGAAACTAACTCTATTCATTAAGAGAGCCTGCCTGATCTGGAAAAGGAACATGTCCAGCTCCAGCCAGGATAGCATATTTCTAGCATTTTACATGGGGGAAGAAAAATACCCAACTCTTGTTTTCCCTGCATGTGAGGAGACAAAGGAGGGAGGGAGCAGGGTCTAGAAGCACTTACGAAAGTCACAGCTTCCAGCACAGGCTTACTGAAAGACAGAGACGTAATTACAGTACTACAGAATGCTTTCCCTTACTACTAACAGAGTTCTCATATATTAACAGGGAATACAACTGAAATAACTGCACATCTTAGACCTTATTTCAGAAGTCTCTAGGGAACACCGAAGATGACAGGGGAGACGGTAACAAGGACACCAGAGAAAATTTTAGCTGATACCTACAGCTACATCAAGCAATAAACACAGCCTAACCCCTAGCCAGATAAACCTCACACTAAAGGTTTATTTGCTTGTTTCTTTTATCCATATATAACAACAACAAAAATCACATGGCACACTAAAAGACAAAAATACACAGTTTGAAGAAAGAGAAGGTGTCAGAACCAAATTCTGATGTGGCAGCGACACTAGAATTATCAGACCAGGAATGAAAAACAACTATGGCCAATATGCTAAGGGCTCTAAAGGAAAAAGGGGACAACATGAAAGATAATCATAAGCATTATGTTTGGTGGATAATGTAAGCAGAGAGAGGAAAACTCTAATGAAAAAACAGAAATTCAGAAATAAAAAACACTGGGCCAGGTGCGATGGCTCACGCCTGTAATCCCAACACTTTGGGAGGCCGAGGCAGGTGGATCGCTTGAGGCCAGCAGTTCAAGACCAGCCTGGGCAACATGGCAAAACTCCATCGCTACTAAAACAAAAATTAGCCAGGCATGGTGGCGCACGATCTGTAGTCCCAGCTACTTGGGAGGCTGAAGCACCAGAATCGGTTGTACTCGGGAGGTGCAGTTTGCAGTGAGCTGATATTGAGCCACTGCACTCCAGCCTGAGCAACAGAGTGAGACACTGTGTCAAAAAAAAAAAAAAAAAAAAAAAAGTACTGTAACAGAAATGAAGAATGCCTGTGATGGGCTCATCAACAGACTGGACATGGCCAAAGAACATGGTGTACTTGAAGGAGTATCAGTAGAAATTTCCAAAGTTGGGGCTTCCAGCCTCATCGAAAAAAAAAAAAAAAAAAAAGGAAAAGCTGAAATGCAAAGAGGAAAAAAAAAATGAAAAAGAACAGAATATCTGACAATTATAGAAGCTGTAGCATACACATAGTCAGAATGGCAGAGAAGAAAATAAAGAAACAGAAGAAATGAGGTGATAATGACTGAGAATTTCCCCAGATTAATGATAGACACCAAACACAGATCCAGGAAGCTCAGAGAATACCAAGCAGGATAAATATCAAAAACAAAAAAATATAGACCGGCCTGGGCAACACAGCGAGACCCCTTCTCTACAAAACACATTTTTCTTTTTTCTTTTTGTAGAGTCTGGGTCTCACTGTGTTGCCCAGGGTGGTCTCAAACTCCTGGCCTCAAGTGATCCTCCCAGTTGAGCCTCCCAAAGTGCTGGAATTACAGGCATGAACCACCACACCCACCAATTTTTTTTTTTTTGAGATGGAGTTTTGCTCGTTGTCCAGTCTGGAATGCAATGACGCGATTCGGCTCACCACAACCTCTGCCTCCCGAGTTCAAGCGATTCTCCTGCCAAGTAGCTGGGATTAATTACAGGCATGTGCCACCACATCCTGCTAATTTTGAATTTTTAGTAGAGACGGGGTTTCTCCATGTTGGTAAGGCTGGTCTCGAACTCCCGACCTCAAGTGATCCACACCCCCCACCCCCAGCCTCCCAAAGTGTTAAGATCACAGGCACGAGCCACTGCGCCCTGCCTAAATTTTTTTTTTTTTTTTTTAATTAGTCAGGGACTGGGTGCAGTGGCTCACTCCTGTGCTCCCAACACTTTGGGAGGCCGAGGTGGGAAGATGACTTGAACAGGCACCTGCTCCCCACCCAGCTAATTTTTGTATTTTTAGCAGACACGGCGTTTCACCATGTCGCCTACGCTGGTCTGGGATCAAGTTATCCTCCTGTCTCGGCCTCCCAAAACGCTAGGATTAGACCCGAGCCACCGCGCATGGTCCGTATTTTATTTTTTAAGGGCGGGACGCCCTCTTCTGTTTTATAAAAGAAACTCCTACTGGAGGCGATGCGCGCCAGGGAAGGCTCTGTAGACGCCGGCTCAAGGGACATAAGGAACCGAATTTCGATGGGTGAAGACAGTGGGAAGAAGCGGTGGCATGATCCTCGTTTTACAGACTAGGAAGTCGAGCTTCAGGGGAGTGACGTGGCTTCTCCGCTGGCTCCACGAAGAAAGCGGGATAGGGAAGACCAAGACCATCGGGCCCACACAGACTCAGCGGCCAACTCAACTCAGCCGGTAGAGGGCGCAAGGCGCTGAACGCGCCTGCTCCGCCGCGGCGTGGCCTTCTGACGCGCCGTCACACTTCCCTCTGTGGCTGCCCATTGGCCGCCTCTTACCGCCCTTTTCCGGGGCAAGAGTAGCTAGTCACGGAGCCGGAAATAAGGCACCGTCGGGCTCGAGACAGCGGCGGCGTTTAAAGCTGGGCGACCCGGTGCCGTTGGAGACAGCCAGCTTCGCCACTCAGGCTCCTCCAGCTCGAGCAGAATCCCCCCGCGCAGAACTCTGGGTGCCTACGGAAGGGAGCCGAGCCAAATCGCAAACTACCCAGAGCCGACTGATCCGTACCACAGAGCGTTGCCAGAAGCCCCGCCCCTAGGAGTGATCGGGAAGCCTCACTCATCCGGGTGAGGGACCGCCTCAGGGCGGAGCCCGCCGGCCATGGCTACGCCCCCGGGGACCGGTCCTGCAGCTCTGCGCTTCGCCGCCGCAGCTAGCTGGCGGGTAGTGCGCGGCCGCTGTGTGGAGCATTTTCCGCGAGTACTGGAGTTTCTGCAATCTCTGCGCGCTGTTGCCCCTGGCTTGGTTCGCTACCGGCACCACGAACGCCTTTGTATGGGCCTAAAGGCCAAGGTATTGGAGCAAGTAGGACCTGGAAGGGGAAAGAAAGGGGCGGGATGCGAGGACCTGACAAGGGCACACAAATTGGGGATGAGACTAGTTGGAAAAAGTCACCTTGCCCCGAGGTGGGGATTCTGAATTCAGTACCGTACAGGTGGTGGTGGAGCTGATCCTGCAGGGCCGGCCTTGGGCCCAAGTCCTGACTGCCCTGAATCACCACTTTCCAGAATCTGGACCTGTAGTGCGGGACCCCAAGGCTGTGAGTAATCCCTGGAACAAGCCCTGACCCCAGTTACACTTGGTGCAATAAAGTTGCTCCTCCTGTCTACCGGATTTTGGTGCTGACTTGTCTGATATCCTCAACAGACAAAGCAGGATCTGAGGAAGATTTTGGAGGCACGGGAAACTTTTTGTCAGCAGGTGAAGCAGCTGTCAGACGATCCTGTGGATTTGGCCTCGAAGCTGCAGGTGAGACTGGTTGAAGGCTGTTAGGTGGCTCCTATTTTCTCTAACCCCCCCCCTTTTTTTTTTTTTTTTGAGTCTCACTCTCCCCCAGGCTGGAGTGCAGTGCCGCTATCTCAGCTCACTACAACCTCTGCCTCCCAGGTTCAAGCAATTCTCTTGCCTCAGCCTCCAGAGTAGCTGGGATTGTAGATGCCCAGCTAATTTTTATATTTTAGTAGAGATGGGGTTTCACTATGTTGGCCGGGCTAGTCCTTGAACTCCTGACCTCAAGTGATCCGCCTGCCTTAGGCTCCCAAAGTGCCGGAATTACAGGCATGAGCCACCATGCCTGGCCACTAACCCACTTTTGACCTCCTACTCTCCCTGCTGCAGGAACTTGAACAAGAGTATGGGGAACCCTTTCTGGCTGCCATGGAAAAGCTGCTATTTGAATACTTGTGTCAGCTAGAGAAAGCACTGCCTACACCGCAGGCACAGCAGGTTTTGTTGGGGCAAAACATGTAAGGGCAGAGTGTGGGGTGGTTGTATCAAGGACGGTGGTCTTCATACCTCTATCCCTGCCCACAGCTTCAGGATGTGTTGAGTTGGATGCAGCCTGGAGTCTCTAGCACCTCTTCTCTTGCCTGGAGCCAATATGGCGTGGACATGGGGTGGCCGCTTCCAGGTACTAGGAATTTGGAGGTGTAGTGTTAAGCATGAGATCTTTTGAGGCAGCCTATTGGAATAGTTTCATGGGCTCCAGGCATAAGAAACCAGTTACTCTTGTTACTTTCTGTTCTCTTTATAAGGGGCCTCATTTTCTTTTTCAGAGTGCTCTATTACTGACTCAATGAACCTGGCTGAGCCCATGGAACAGAATCCTCCTCTGCAACAAAGACTAGCACTCCACAATCCTCTGCCCAAAGCCAAGCCTGGCCCATATCTTCCTCAGGGACCATCTTCAAGGACACACCCAGAACCTCTAGCTGGCCACCACTTCAATCTGGCCCCTCTAGGCCAACGAAGAGTACACTCCCAGTGGGTGTCTGCTAGGGGAGGCCATAAGGAGCGCCCCACAGTCATGCTGTTTCCCTTTAGGAATCTGGGCTCAGCAACCCAGCACACATCTAAGCCTGAGAGCAAGAAAGAACATGCGATATGCACAGCAGACCTAGCCATGAGCACAAGAGCAGCCCCCACTGGGAAGTCTAAGAGTCCAAGCCAGACCCTGAGGGGAAGGGCTCTGAAGGAGAACCCAGTTGACTTGCCTGCCACAGAGCAAAAGGAGTGAGTGGAACAGAGTTAATTCTCCTTACTAGGAGCACATTCTTTGCCTGCCTTCCTTTCACCCTATTCTCTTTGCTTGCTCTCACCTCAGGAATTGCTTGGATTGCTACATGGACCCCCTGAGATTATCATTATTACCTCCTAGGGCCAGGAAGCCAGGTAGGTAGTCTGAGTCAGGATTGGATAACAGCCTCCTCTCTTGGGGACTCTCAAGAGCCTGTGTTCATCTAGAGGTAGTAGTTTGATTCTGGTTTCCCTCCTACAGTGTGTACTCCATCTCTGTGCAGCAACGTCATTACCATAGGGGACTTGGTTTTAGACTCTGATGAGGAAGAAAATGGCCAGGGGGAAGGAAAGGTGAGTAGGAAGGAGCAGAAAGCTGGGGAAGTGGATGGGCAGAACAGGACTGAGAAATCCATATGCTTCAGAATTCAGAGGGCTCAGGCAATGGTTTCATTTGGTGGGATTTGCCTGCTCCCTTCTCTACAGGAGTCTCTGGAAAACTATCAGAAGACAAAGTTTGACACCCTGATCCCCACTTTGTATGAATACCTCCCCTCTTCTGGCTATAGTACCATGCCTTTCTATGACTGGAGAGATAGCTCTAAACCCCTGTGATAGAACTAAAGTGCCCTCTGTATTCTGCCTGTCTCCTGCCTCCTCGGTTCTGCAAGTAGTTTAGTAGGAATGAAGTGGAAGTCCAGGCTTGGATTGCCTGACTCCACTGCTAAAAATACTTTGTAATGCTTAATAATTAAACTTCAGATTTGTTAAAATACTGCCTTGATGTGAGGGAGGGGAATTAAGGTTTCCATAAGGTCAGCATAAGGCATGCCTTAGAAACAGCTGGCCCTTCCAGACTGGAAGGATCCCTTTGCCTTTTTTACCTCCCTTGGTAAGTGTTGTTCAGCTGTGCCCAGAAGGGTTAACAAGGTTGAGAGCCAGGAAGAGATCCTTTTGCTATTCCGGAAATATGTGTCCTAATGCCAGAATATACTTTGTAAATTCTCATGCTTTCAGATTATCTGGGGGTGGTGGCACTAGAATGGAGATACTTCATGGGAATAATACTCATTGTCCTTGAACCCACTGGGTCACTGACCCTACCGCCACCCACTCTGGAGCAGCAGCCAGATGCTAGCCTTGTACAGAAAGCCCCAGCATCTATTTACAGTCAATGAGCTCTTTCTTTATTGAGGTATTTCAAATATACTTCTGAGCTTTTTAGATATGTGAAGGTCCCATTTAGTGAAGCTGATTAACAAAACATGATTCTAAAAGCCTGCCTCCTCTAAACCAAAGCCATGTAAAAAATTTATGTATCAATCAGCATCTTTTCCTTTTAATAATCTTCAGGTGTCGGATCCCCAGATTCCCATTTGATTATCTTGCGTCATTTTCTCAGACTTTTCTTCCTTGCTTCCTCCCCAGTGAGTGCCTTGGGCATTTTGTGTGTGCAGATAGCGAAGTACAGAGTTACTGCAGGAGCCCTCAGGAGTGAGCCAACAGGAAATGACAAGGTAGTACAGAGCTGCTGTAGCTGGGATAGGTGAGGAGCCCACTTGGGATGCCCCATGGTAGAACACTGGTGTCTTGGGAGGGCAGAACTGCTCAGATCTAGCTCACATCACTGAAGATTGGATTCACCTGCTGGGTGACTCGGATGAATGTAGTTCTCCTGCTCAACTCTTTGAGCTTAGCTGCTCCCACATAGGTACACGTAGAGCGGATCCCTCCTAGGATGTCTCGGATGGTATGTTCTACATCGCCTTTAAAAGGAACTTCCACTGTCTTTCCCTCTGAGGCTCTTAAAGTAAAAAAAAAAAAAAAAAAAAAAACTTCTGGATTCTGTGAGCCCAGGGACTTTTCCCCAGACCCTGGCATTGAGCCCCAGTTCACCATCCTTCTCAGAGAACTGTACCATCTCCCTCCCAACAGCCATGAGTTCTGCCTCCATACTATTACCAAGTTCCTGAGCTACCACACATACCTGTACTCAGCCACACCCCCAGAATACTTCTTCATGGCCATTTCAGAACTCATTCCATAGAAGAGCTTGTACTTCTTGCCATCCCTCTCGATAAGCTCACCACCTGACTCACTATGCCCAGCCAGCATGCCACCCAGCATCACGAAGTCAGCTCCTGCACCTGCCACCATCATGGAGGAGGGAAAGAGATTATTAATATGGCCAAGGTGCCCGCATGGCCACCCTCAAAAGCAACTCACACCACATTCTCAGTCCTGACAGATTCCAGCCTCTTCCTGGTTGTGATTCCCTAGCTGACCCACAATCCATGCAGGCCTCATCTGCTCTGGCTTCTATTCCTTAGTGAGTATGATTTCCCCAAGATTTAAAAAAGAGGCTCTGGAGAGTCCCTGCCTGGCACTTGCTTTCTCCTTTTGCTGTTTTCACCATCATCATCTGGTCATTTCATTTTACTGTGCCCAGCTAAACAAGACTCATTTCATGTGTGCCAAGAGCAAAGATCTCCAACTTTAATGGGAGTAATTATCTCCTGGGAAGCTGTACAAAATAAAAAATGCAGATTTGCTGCCCTATTCCTCAGAGCCTAGTATTTTTTTAGGTCTGGGTGGGGCTCAGGAGTCTGCACTGTGCAACAATCTAGGAGATGATCAGATGGCCATTGCCCACACTTGGAGAGTTTCAGATGTCCCCTGCTGGCCACCCCAGGTGATACCATAGACTTCAGAGTCACTAATTCATATTATGAAAGAATCTGAATGACTTTCTGAGCCTCTCTTACCCTGACCCTAGACCCTCAGAGGAGACTCATCCTCTTATAAAGAATAATCCTTCTGTGCCCTCAGGCTTCTTACCAAAAGCCTTGGCCACATCCCCAGGACAGCTGCAACCTCCATCCTGCAAAGTAAGGAGCATTATGAACACACAGCATTGATTTTCTAAGCCCTCAGTGATGTCCCAACAACCCAACTCAAAGCCAACAAGAACCCAGGAATTCTAGTCCATCTCTGCCACCTCCATACCCTGCAGAAAACCCAGTTCATACCCTACCCTGTCCTTGGGCCTTACTGAAATGATGTGGCCTTTGAGGCCATGGGCAGCATCTGCACACTCCATCACAGCACTGAGCTGTGGATAACCCACTCCAGTTTTCTTCCGAGTAGTACATACAGAGCCTAGGAAGAACATGACAAGGGTGAGAATAATGTGCTCCATAGGTATTTGCCACTGAAGGGGTCACCAGTGGCCCAGGTGAACCAGCTTACCTGGCCCAATTCCCACTTTGATGATGTCAGCCCCAGAGAGGATTAGCTCTTCTACCATCTCTCCTGTTACCACATTCCCTGCCTGAGACAGAGCAATTGAAATACAGCATCCTTAGGGCCAGAAACAGGTCATGTATTGTCATATACCATATGCCTGGATCATGACTTTCCAACATTATTTCTAAGAAAGGATACTTCAGTCCCCTCTACTGGGCCTTCTGAGGGCTTTTACACTAGCCACTTTAGAGAACCCTGCTCCCTACCCATTCCCCCAACACCAAGCCAAAGTAGGGAGTGAGTGGCCAATGTCACCACTGAACCTAGGGTAAAGCCAACATCCAGGATGCACTTTTCCTAAGACAACAAGGTGCTATGATCAACAGGGACACGTGAAGTGGCATGGAGGAGCATTCAGTGAGGCAAAGGGAACTACTGGACCAGGCTCACATCTGATTTAAAGTAGATTTATCTCCCATTCCTCAAGAGACCAAACATACTCTGTTAAGCCATTCTGTCATAGAACCTGTCTGTCTTCAGGAAAAGGGAGAAGGCATGGTACTGTAGGCTGAAGACCCATTTGACCAGTTGTACTGGCTTCTGATGGTCAGTAGACACACCCCTCAATGAAGAAAATGGGGGCCTGCCATCACTCTGCTAAGGTTGTAAGAAAATAAATCATTGTTGGCTGGGTGCGGTGGCTCAATGCCTATAATCCCAGCACTTTGGGAGGCCGAGGCGGGTGGATCACAAGGTCAAGAGATTGAGACCATCCTGGTCAACAAGGACAAAAATTAGCTGGGCATGGTGGTACGCACCTGTAGTCCCAGCTACTCGGGAGGCTGAGGCAGGAGAATTGCTTGAACCCAGAAGGCGGAGATTGCAGTGAGCCGAGATCGTGCCATTGCACTCCAGTCTGGGTAACAACAGCGAAACTCCGTCTCAAAAAAAAAAAGAAATAATTGTTTATGTGACCCCTTTTATGTGATTGTAGTATGTGTCCATTTCAGTGGGCAGATGTCTATGTGCCACAGGTATGTACAGTGCATAGATGTTCCATCATGGTTTGGTGAGTGATGTCAGGGACACTAGATTTACAAAGACTATGAACCAAGCATTAGAGATACTGCACTGGCCAAATAAATGGACATTTTAAGCTTAGAACTATGGATAATCATCCAGCATCATGATTAAATGGACTAGGAATATCGTAATGCAGCAGAGAACTGGACTGATGTAGCAAAACGGAAAGGCAGTAAAGTGGAAAGATAAAAAGCACCGACTATAATAGAAACATACCATGATGGTGTGCTGGGGGAAGCGCTTCCGTACATCTTTTACAAATTCAACGAAGTGTTCAGAGTAGCCATTTGCCACATCCAGGCATATATAGTTCACCTGGGGAATAGCATCCAGGATCTGTTCCAGCTGCTCAAAGTCAGAAGAGCCTGTGCCAGAGCTGGCAGCCAGATACTATGGGATAAACAGGACCATTGGCCTATCAGAGATGATCTGGTGAGCAGCCAATGGGTCAGTGATGAGGGTTTGTCCCTAGAAAGCCAAAATATAATTGCTGGAAAACTAGGATAAGGAAGGGAGCAGGGTAGGCCCAGTGTTACCTCAAGACAGTCAGGATTCTGGCTAGCAAATTCTTGCCACTGATCGAGGCTGTAGTGCTTATGGACAGCAGTGAAGAGAGAGAACTGGGGAAAAGAAAAAGAAGCATCAAAAGAAAGAAAACTTCATTAAGGTCTCTTTCTAGAAACAGACCTATTCTCTCTGAGAGAGGAAATAATTGAAGCTGGGGAGGAAACAACTGGAAGAAGTCAGGTTGAATTGGGATTTGAGTTCAAACTTTCTTCTCCCTACAAATACTGGTAGGGCTTTTTACCATAAGCTAGTACTTGTCAGATATTCCCACCAAAGTACTGAGTGATCTATGATTTCATCTGCCAGCACATTTACTGCTTCTGACTTTAAAGGTGACAAGCTGTTGGTGCAGTGGGACAGGCAGTAGACATGAAAGAACCATGAAGAAGTTGGATGGAGCCTGTGCTTCTCTGCTGTGACTCAGCCCCTCCTCCTACGGTAACCCAGGACTAAACTATTTTTGGTTAGGTTCTCATTCATTTACCAGCAGTAATTCAGCAGGTCTGGATGCCCACAAAAGGCAATGCCTTAAGGTTGATAAGAGCGGATAAGGTGCTACCCTATCTCCATCTCTAGTGGAAAAAAGGACAGATTTCCTAGTTGAGGACATGGATCAAGCTAAAAAATGTTTCATTCAATCAATTTTAATAAAGTTCAAGGATATAATGACTCATCAAGTTCATATTCTCTAGCTCAACAAATGGCGAACAATATCTCAATAGCTGGAGAAAGGCATTCAAAAGCTATTATGAATGCTGGTGTTTGTGCTTTACATGTCTACATGCAAACAGACAAGAGACAGCAGTTGGCTGAGACAGCACAAAGACATCTGACAGAAAATGCAAGGAAGACATGTATTAGCAATAAGCAAGTGCCCTACATATGTACTCAGAGATCAACACTAGCTCAAGCTGATACTGAATTCTGCTTTCTCAACATTCTACCATCAACATACTGGTAAGCAGAGAAAAATCCCTATAGGATAGAAGTCAGCAGACATTAGAGATACACTGGCATAGTGTGGCATGATGAGCACATCAAATTACATACCAAGCTTAGAAAAAGAAGTTTGCTTGCATCCAACCTTTTTATTACTATGAGACTTGGCTCTATCTCTAAAATCTGATTTCTTTACCTCTCATCAGCAACACTGAAAGCCAGGCTCAACATAAAGCATCAAGACAATCCCCAAAAAGGTTCATGTATTACAGCATGTCGGCTGACTGTGCAGTCAGAGTCGCCATTTCTGAACTCTGCTGGTCAGGGCAGATGGACAATGGGCAACACCAAGATTCCTAAGCAGTTACTGAATGGCAATAAAAATAAAGTAAAAATAAAACTGCATAACTATCAACCTCAAAGAAATGACAAGACATTCCACAAAGACACAGCAATCAAAAATAGAAAAAAGGATATGAACTCCTTAAGACTAACGAGCCACAAACAGTAGCAGAATCAACCAGGGCTACACAGATCAACCAGCAGAGTGCGTATATTCTTAAAGTGCCCAGATAACTTTCTACCTTCTCGGCAACAAGCATAGAGGCAGGTATTAGTACTGACAGGAGCAGCATCTTCCATTTCAAAGTGAACAACTTGTATATAAGAAAAACACATCCCATTTGGGGTACATCCCAGAAATTCCTAGGAACCTAGGACTTAAAGAAGAGGAAGATTAAAAAAAGAAAAAAGAATGGCAGAATTATTCTTTTATTAATGAATTGTTCTTATTAAAGAATAATCAAAAGAAAATAAGTTCCTTCTCCTAGGATCTTCTAGTTAGGAATTTTGAATGCTTAAACTGTGGTTTCTGGACTAAAACAGTGAATGCTTAATGTGGACAACTGTGTAACTGAAGAGATGCATGTGACTGGGAAGGGGTGACCTGGGTGGTGGGAAAGTTGGCAAGGTGTACAAACTGCTAGACAGGACAAAAGGGAAAATTCTATTCATGTATCAGAAAAATGGGGCAAAACGTAGCTCTGAATCTCACTAATTCAGATGGCCTTTTGAACTGAAAGGGATTTAGTAGTGGGAAAAAACTAAATTAGAGCATCCTGACTGCTAACTGCCAGAGAGCTGACTGGGCATGGGGGTGGGGATGCAAACACCTCTGCAGTCAGCTGGGATAACGACACCAATAGGGATGGGGCACGAGGAAAGCCCTACCTTACAGAGAACCCTGGCCATCTCAAAGGTGCCCACAGTATCCATATTGGCAGCAATGATGGGAACGCCAGTGTACGTCTGCTTTGAGTTCCGAAATGAAAAGGATCTTGTGAGATCCACCTGCAGATATGAAGAGGAAACTGAGCATTTCATTAATCCAAAAAACGTACCGTATTAGGGCAAGGGCAGGCGTCTTTCTTGGTTGTGGCCCACCAGGAGCATGGAGTCAAGAAACAGCAAGTAGAGAGGCTTGCTCACCTCACTTCGAGACTTAAGGGTACTGCGTTTGGGCCTCAAAAGGACGTCCTTGAAGTCCAGTTTCACATCATTGTCGATATGAGGCATGGCGCCTAGCCTCGGGGTAGCGATGAATCTGAGGGCTGGAAGGCAGGAGGTCATAAGGACCAATCTTCCGCTGGGGTTTAACGCCCCGTTACGGCTGGCAGCCTCTGCTTTCTTAAGTCGTGGAAGGTCGGGCAAACGCCGAAGTGTGGTTCCTGAAGCCTGTCACCTCGACCCATCCCGTGGCTGCGATTACCCTAGGGGTCTCCATCCCAGGTACTGTTTGTTGGAAAGAAGAGCTGGGAAAGGGTTGTGAGAGACCCTGACGGTGCATTCCTTACCCCGCTACACTTCCTTCTTCTATCCCTGCAAAGAGCAATGAGACAAGAGGCTGATTTAGGGGGACGAACGAACGTGGGCGACGGGGGGCGGGGAGGGTTCATAACCAGCTTCTGGAATAGGGGTACTCACTTCCTGTTGCCTTGGTCCCGGTGGCAGTTGACCAAAGACCACCTTGCTTAGCGACTAGCCTCGTGCAATACCGCTGAGCCTTCTGGGCCACGCCAACAGGCCCCTCTAGCTACCGGCAAGAACTACTAGGCGACGAATTCCAGCTTCGGCGACGGCCGGGCGAGGCCTTCTGGGTAACAGAGTTCACGCACTGAGGTCGCTGTTGGATCCGAGGTAAGGGAGACTACAACTCCCACAGTGAAATGGGAGGGACCGCCCCTTGGCACGATGGGAGATGTAGTTCGTTCTGCCCCAGCTTTTCGCTAACTCGGGCTCGCTAGGGACTCTCAGAATCGCAGAGTTCTCGTCTCCGCTGTAGCTAAACTGGATGCCTCGTTTTTATTTACAACGTCACGGAACCGAAACACAGGAGCACTCCTGAGCCTTTCCGGAACCCAGTGGAAAGCGGGGGGCGGGGTGGGGGGAGGGAGAGGGTGGAGCCAGACAGTGACCCGGAAGCAGAAGTGGCCCTCGCAGGCAGAGTGCTGGAAAGCGGCAGCGGCGACCTGAGTGATAGGAGCAGCAATTTATCCGTGTGCAGTCCCAAACTGGAAAGAAGATGCTAATTAAAGTGAAGGTGGGAGCACCTCCAGCCTCGCCAGGACGCAGTAGTGCTGGGCTGGTAGCTGTGCCTTACGGGAGACGTGGGGAAGGAAAACCACGCCTTTCCAGAGCCTGGAGGGCGCTGACAGCATTAGGGCTCCGCGCGAGGGGTGATGGGAAATAGGGGGACCTAGAAGGGCTTTGAGAGCGGGGCCCAGGTCCCACCTACCGACCCTGGGGTCTTTTGCCGTCCCTGCTTTTTTTGCCAGAACTCTGTTGTCACCCAGAAGGGATTAACTTTTGTAGGATCTCACTATTCGAACCACCGCAGTCATAGAGAAGGCCTAGCAGCGGCTTGACTCCCCCTTCTCTCAGATTCTGGGAATAAGCGTTGCTCTCCATTCTTCATTCCCAGGTTACCTGCTTCTCCCAGTCCCTAACGTAGGCTGCCTCCGAGCACAGCCCTAAAACGTTAGGCCGGGGAAACCGGGGCCTCCCAGGGGCTAGACTATGAGCCTTTACTGGTGGTTGCCAAGGTGTGGTATCTCAGCCGTCCTACAGGAGCCAAAGAGGGGAGTGTGTTCAGTCAGCACCTGCCTTTCTGAGCCTGGCATCCTGGACCAGCCTCACTTCCTTGACAGAGGCAGGTTAGTTACTGCTGCCCTAGTTCTTGGTACTAGCCTTGGTTTCCTTCATCTGCATCTCTCAACTCCCATGGTGGCTCTTCACCAGTTTCCAGCCCTTACTAGTCCTAGTGCTGTTTCCTCTTTTGTGCCTTCAGACGGACAGACGCCCTGACCTCCCCCACTCCAAAAGAAACAACTGCTGACAAATGATGAAGTCCAATGCTAGTTGGGCCTTTTTGTAGCTAAGTAAATCTGTCGTTATTTCATCAGCTTCTTAGTATATTTTCCGTACTTAACAGTCATTCTTAACCTTCTCTTCTCCAGTCCTTCCAAACTATTTCTCAACCTTCTCTTCCCCAGTCCTTCCCAGCTACTTCTTAGCTAAGGTGTGAGGCCAAGTATTAAAATAGTATGTTAAAGATGATTGTTTTTCAAACTTTGAGTAGCGACCTATGTAAGAGTCGTGACATCAATTTAATAGGTGAATGGATCACTGCCACCATTAATAAAAGAAAATAGGCTGGGCTCGGTGGCTAACGCCTGAAACCCCAGCACTTTGGGAGGCCAAGGCAGGCCGGTCACTTGAGCCCAGGAGTTCGAGACCATCCTGGGCAACATGGCGAAACTCCGTCTCTACAATAAATACCAAAAATTAGCCGAGGGTGTGGGTGCACGCCTGTAGGTCCAGCTATTTGGGAGGCTGAGATGGGAGGATTGATTGAGCCTGGGATGTCAAGGCCCTGGTGAGCAGTGATGGCACCACTGCACTCCAGACCCTGTCTCAAAATAAAAGGCCAGGTGCGGTGGCTCACACCTGTAATCACAGCGCTTTGGGAGGCCGCGCGGTGGACCGATCACCTGAGGTCAGAAGTTCAAGACCAAGCTGGCCAACATGGTGAAATCCTGTCTCTACTAATAATACAAAAATTAGCCAGGTGTGGTGACGGGTGCCTGAAATCCCAGTTACTCGGCAGGCTGAGGCAGGAGAATTGCTTGAACCTGAGAGGTGGGGGTTGCAGTGAGCCCAGATTGAGTCATGGAACTCCAGCCTGGGCAACGAGAGTGAAACACCTTCTCCAAAAAAAAAGAAAAGAGAGAGAAGAAAGGGAAATATCAGTATAGTGCTAGGTAAGGATATTGTTTTGTGAATTTTTTTTTTTTTTTTTGAGTTGGAGTCTCGCCCTGTGGCCAGGCTGGAGTGCAGTGGCACAATCTCAGCTCACTACAACCTCCGCCTTCCTGGATTCAAGCTGTTCTGCTTCAGCCTTCCAAGTAGCTGAGACTACAGGCACACACCACCATGCCCAGCTAATTTTTGTATTTTTAGCAGAGACAGGATTTCACCATGTTTGTGTTAGACACATGAAAAATTTGCTATTTGTGATATGCTCTGAAACTTCAATTCTAAGTTGATTTCATAACCCACTGATGGGTTAAGACCTGCAGTTTAAAAAATAGTGTTGGAAAAAAAATCAATGCTGTGTGTGGAAACTTGAAAAAAGAAATACGGTGTCCTATCACCTGTGGTCTTGCTAAAATGCTGATTATGATTCTGTGGGTCTAGGATGGGGCACAAGTTTCTGCATTTCTCACAAACACCCAGGTCATGTTGAATGTCTGAGAACTACACTTTGAATAGCAAGATTCTAGATTTTGGCTGTTTCTTTGAATCCATATTTATCTAATACTTCTCCAAAATTTGAGACAGGTTCTCACTGTCACCCAGGCTTAAAGTGCAGCTTTTTTGTTTGTTTGTTTTTGGGTTTGTTTTTTTTCAAGTTGGAGTCTCACTCTGCCACCCAGGCTAGAGTGCAGTGGCGTGATCTCGGCTTACTGCAACCTCCGCCTCCTGGATTCAAGTGTTTCTCCTGCCTCAGCCTCCTAAGTAGCTGGAACTACAGGCACCCGCCACCACACCTGGCTAACTTTTGTATTTTTAGTAGAGATGGGGTTTCATCATGTTGGCTAGGCTGGTATTGAATGCCTGACCTCAGGTGATTTGCCCACCTCGGCCTCCCAAAGTGCTGAAATTACAGGCATGAGCCACCGCACCCAGTCTTACTTGTTTTTGTTTTGAGACATTCTCACTGTCTCACTACTCAGGCTGGATTGTAGTGGTGTGATCTCAGCTCACTGCAGCCTCCATCTCTCAGGCTCAAGGGATCCTCCCAACTCAGCCTCCCCAGTAGCTGGGCTTACAGGTGTATGCCACTGCACCTGGCTGATTTTCTGTATTTTTAGTAGAGATGGGGTTTCACCACATTGCCCAGGCTGGTCTCAAACTCCTGAGCTCAAGCTATCCGCCTGCCTTGGCCTCCCAAAGTGCTGGGATTACAGGCATGAGCTACCACGCCTGGCCAAATTATTCATTTTCAACTGCTGTCTCTGTATAGCTGACTTCTTCCATATTTTTCTGTAAGATTTTACAATTTGTCCTAATTTAAATCTTCTCTTGTCACCTTGTCTCTGTGGTACTAAAATTAAGTATATAATCTTCTGTCATAAACCATATCCCAATACCAGTCTCATATGTTAATCCCATCAATCGCTCAGGTGTCTGGAATACAATTCTTTAGAGTGATGTAAAATTACATGGTCCTTTTATAGGACCTAATTTTTCAGTTAAAAACCTCTTTGTTTCATTTTTCTTTCCATTTTCATTACCCTTATTCTGGTCTGGGGTCTTATTTATATCTTTATTTCTCCAATACTTTCAATCAGGTTGTCCTACTGTCATAAAGTAGAGAGTCTAAACTAAGAGATGATGTACAAAACCATAATGTACAGGTCTTCCTTGAGCTTCTTTTTCATTATATAATGTCCTAACCCCAGATCCTTCATTGATTTCCTCATTGCAGATTACTTTGGCAACTGTCTTTACTATGTGAACCAGTTTTCTCATTCATGTTTTTTAACATACAATAAGATGTACAGTTCTTGAGGGTTTAGTTCAGTGAGTTTGTTGTTGTTGTTGTTGTTGTTGTTGTTGTCGTCGTCGTCGTCGTCGTCGTCGTTGTGGTCGTCGTTGTTTTGAGATGGTATTTCCCTCTGCCGCCCAGGCTGGAGTGCAATGGGGTGGTCTTGGCTCACTGCAACCTCCGCCACCTGGGTTCAAGTGATTCTCCTGCATCGGCCTTTTGAGTAGCTGACACTACAAGCATGTGCCACCATACCCAGCTAATTTTTATATTTTTAGTAGAAACGGGGTTTCACCATGTTGGCCAGGATGGTCTCTATCTCTTAAACTTGTGATCCGCCCGCCTCGATCTCCCAAAGTGCTGAGATTACTACAGGCGTGAGCCACTGTACCCGACTAGTTCAGTGCCTTTTTAACAATAGCATACATTCATGTAATTACAAAATATAAACATTTGTATTCCTACCCCTCAAGAGTTTCATAGATTAGTTTTACTTGTTTTAGAATTTTATATAAATGGAAGTATACAATGTACAGTTTTTGTATCTGGCTCCTTTCAGTCAGTGTAATGTCTGTTGTATGTATCTGTGGTTTATTCCTTTTTTTTTTTTTTGAGACAGTGTTTCACTTTTGTTGCCCAGTTTGGAGTGCAATGGTGCTATCTCAGCTCACTGCAATCTCTGCCTCCTGGGTTCAAGCGATTCTACTGCCTCAGCCTCCCAGGTAGCTGGGATTACAGGCATGTGCCATGCCCGGCTAATTTTTTGTATTTTTAGTAGAGACGGGGTTTCTCCATATTGGTCAGGCTGGTCTTGAACTCCCGGCCTCAGGTGATCTACCCACCTCGGCCTCCCAAAGTGCTGGGATTACAGGCATAAGCTACCGCACCGGGCTGGTTTATTCCTTCTTATTACTGAATAATACTCATTGAATGGAATACTATTGATGGATAATTTGTTTAGCCATTCTTCTGTTGATGGGAGTTTGAGTTATCTCCAGTTTCTGGCTATTATGAATAAGGCTTCTATAAACATTGTTATGCAAGTCTTTCTGTGAACATATGTTTCAGTCCCTTTGGATAAATACCTAAGCACAAAATAGCGAGGTCATATGGTAGATATATGTAACTTTAAAAGGAAACCAACATGTTTTACCATTTTATATTCCCACTTGCAGTGTATGAGCATTCCAGTTGCTCTGTACCCTTACTAGCTAGTACCCTTGCAGCACCATAAAAATCCTGATGTCAGTCATTTTTATTTTGGCTATTAGTGTTATAATGCTGCATAATATAAATTAAAACACTATATATATAGTGTTATATAATGTTATCTCATTCCAGGCTTAAATTGATGACACTGATTTTCATTCACCATAGCACTTTGTTATTACCCCTTGGTGTTTGCACAATAGCGCACTTCCTTATTTTTTTATATTTAATTTATTTTTATTTTATTTTATTTTTATTTTTGAGACAGTCTCCCTCTGTTGCCCAGACTGGAGTGCGGTGGCACAGTCTCGGCTCACTGTAACTTCCAGCTTCATTCAAGCGATTCTCCTGTCTCAGCCTCCTGAGTAGCTGGAACTACAGGCATGTGCCACCACTCCCAGCTAATTTTTTGTACTTTTGGTAGAGACAGAATTTTGCCCTGTTGGCCAGGCTGGTCTCAAGCTCCTGACCTCAAGTGATCCATCTGCCTCAGCCTCCCAAAGTGCTGGGATTACAGGCATGTACCACCACACCCAGGTAATTTTTTTTGTATTTTTAGTAGAGACTGGGTTTCACCATGTTAGCCAGTCTGATCTTGAACTCCTGACCTCATATGGTGTGCCCACCTCGGCCTCCCAAAATGCTGGAATGATAAGTGTGAGCCACCGCACCCAGCTTAGGTTCATCTTATACTTGTTAAAATAGCATTGAATATGTCAGATCACAGTGTGATACATCAAGAATGTCTTCTAAAATTGTTCAGTTACTTTAAAACAGCTTTAATTATGGACAGGTTCAAACACAACAGCAAAGAGAAGGGTGTATGTTTGGAACAAGTTCAATGTATAAATCTTCTTTTTCAATTACAAATTATGAAATGTAAATATAGGTCTAGTATTTATTTGGGATGAAAATTTACCATTTGATTTTTTTTTTTTTTTCTGAGATAGGGCCTCACGCTGTCCCCCAAGCTGGAATGCAGTGGCACAGTCACCCCACTACAGCCTTGAACTCCTGGGCTTGGGCAGTCCTGCCTCAGCCTTCTGAGTACTCTGTTGCTAGGACTACAGGCTTGTGCCACTGCGCCTGGCTGATTTTATGGTAGAGATGGGGATCTCACCATGTTCCCAGGCTGGTTTCAAAACTCCAGGGCACAAGCACTATTCCCACTTCCCCCTCCCAAAGTGCTGAGGTGGGAGGGTTGTTTGAGCCCAGGAGGTCAAGGCTGCAGTAAGCCAGGATCACCACTGTACTCCTGCCTGGGTGACAGAGTGAGACCCTGTCTCTTAAAAAATACTCAATGACTGCTTATGTGTCAAACACTGGGAAAGTTTAACACTTAAACAATTAGCTGTAATTGGTATATTAATATTGGAAGTATTAATAAAGTATACTGGGAACTGGTCTACACATTATACAGGAGGAGATCTTATATGAAAGGGGTCTTGAAGTTTGGAGAAGGAGCAGGGGAGGATATTGCAACAAGGAAAACAGTAGAAGCAAAGAAATGCCTGTAAATTAGATGAGTATGGTGTTCGTGGCCTGGATCATTGTAGACTAATGCAGATAGAGCTTTAAGAGCAGGAGGAATGGGAGATGAGAATGCGTGGAACACAGCATTTGTGATGGCATAATCAGTATAATTATTGTGTTTGGGTATCACAAGCCCTTAACCTATGGCAGAAGTCAAGAAGATAAGAACCGCAGGCAGGCAAGGTGGCTCAAGCCTGTAATCCCAGCACTTTGGGAGGCCAAGGCGGGTGGATCACGAGGTCAAGAGATCGAGACCATCCTGGTCAACATGGTGAAACCCCGTCTCTACTAAAAATACAAAAAATTAGCTGGTGGCACGTGCCTGTAATCCCAGCTACTCAGGAGGCTGAGGCAGGAGAATTGCCTGAACCCAGGAGGCGGAGGTTGCAGTGAGCCGAGATCACGCCATTGCACTCCAGCCTGGGTAACAAGAGCGAAACTCCGTCTCAAAAAAAAAAAAAAAAGAGCTGTAATTTAGGATTTAGGTAGACATCTATAAAGATATGGGGATGCGATGTTGACTTCTAGTCTTTTTTTCTTTTTTTTTTTCCAGGGAGTGGGGGGTTTGACAGTGTCTTCCCCTGTTACCCAGGCTGGAGTACAGTGGCACAATCATGGCTTACTGTTGCTGCCTCTAACTTCTGGACTCAAGTGATCCTCCCACCTCAGCCTCCTAAGTATCTGGTACTACAGGCATACACCACTGTACTCAGCTATTTTTTTTTTTTTTTTTTTTTTTTTTTTTTTTTTTTGGTCCAGACTGGTCTGGAACTCCTAGGCTCAAGTGATCCTCCCACCTTGGTCTCCCAAAGCCTTAGGATTACAGGTGTGAGCCACCATGCCCAGCCAATTCTAGTGTTTTTGAAAAATTGCTTAGAGGTGATTTCTGGTGTCCTCAAGAATTATTTGAATTATCTTAATATTAATTTTTAGCACTGATATTTATAACAGAACAAGGTCCTTCTGGCTTTTTTTAGATGCCTTTCCAGCCACAGTCGCTCATGCCTGTAATCCCATCACTTTGGGGGGCTGAGGAGGGCAGATCACCTGAGGTCAGAAGTTCGAGACCAGCCTGACCAACATGGAGAAAACCCATGTCTACTAAAAATACAAAATTAGCTGGGTTTAGTGGTGCATGCCTGTAATCCCACCTACTCAGGAGGCTGAGGCAAGAGAATCGCTTGAACCCGGGAGGCAGAGGTTGTAGAGAGCTGAGATCACACTGTTGCACTCCATCCTGGGCAACAAGAATGAAACTCTGTCTCAAAATAAGTAAATAAAAGATACCTTTCATTGCCATATCATCCAAAAGAATGCCAATATTCTCACTGATTTTGGGGGACGGGAGAGGCAATGGAAGATGACTCACGGGATTATGGGAATCAGATGATTCAATGAATCTTGCTCTATCAAAGTTGTTTACAGCCTAAAAATATTTGATGAATGTAGGTATGTTCAAAGCCTTCTAATTCTCCAAAGCAGTGCTGCTGAGAATATGCATCTCTCAGAAGGCAGTGGATCCCAAAGACCAAGATAGGATGTTTTACCTAAAAGACACATTGTACATTGGGCTTTAGGACTCATGAAAGAAACCCTTGCCTGTTTCAGACGCTGACCGGAAAGGAAATTGAGATTGACATTGAACCTACAGATAAGGTGATGCATGCCCAACTTCTTTTCGTATACTTCTTGACGTGTATATTTGTTTGCGTATGCTTATGAATTTGGTCCTTTTGATCTCATGCTGTCTGCATAGCCCTTGTTCTTTCCATTTCCATGGTCCTACCCCTGAGCAGCTCCTGACTACTTGTCTCTCTAAAGGTGGAGCGAATCAAGGAGCGTGTGGAGGAGAAGGAGGGAATCCCTCCACAACAGCAGAGACTCATCTACAGTGGCAAACAGATGTGAGTTTGGAGTGAGAATGACAGCATGGCGATCTTCTGTGAAGATGAGAGGGGCCACATACTGAGGTGGATCAGGCCTGCCTTTTGTTTTTGGTGCCTTAGACCCTTTGGCAATCTGGTGAAACCTCTAAGCCCCTTCTCAGAATAAGATTTTTTCAGGCATAAAACAAAATATATAGAATTACAAAGAAAACTAATTATATTGAAATACAATTATCAAAATACTAAAACAAATTTGCAATATAGTGAATATAGTGATATATGTGATTTTTTATTAATACATGAGATCTAATAGCAGGTCTAATATGGCCATAATTTTGAAATATTTTCAAGATACCTACAAACAATTATGATATGAAAATAGCTAATTTCTATTGTTAACAAGTTAATGTACTGCTAATATTGCTGTAGTTCTTGGCCTATGTTTAAAGTTAGAAGAAATGTTAAATTTTAGTTGTGGGTTAGTAAAAATAAAGATGGGATTTTTTTTTTCCTTATTCAAGTTCACAGACTCCAAAAGAGATCCATGAAATTTAGGTTAAGAACTCCTGTTCTGGCTAGGCGCAGTGGCTCATGCCTGTAATCCTAGCACTTTGGGAGGCTGATGAGGGCGGATCACCTGAGGTCAGGAATTTGAGATCAGCCTGGCCAACATGGTGAAACCCTGTCTCTACTAAAAATAGAAAAATTCGCCGAGTGTAATGGTGGGTGTCTGTAATCCTAGATACTCAGGAGGCTGAGGCAGGAGAATCACTTGAACCCAGGAGGCAGAGGCTGTAGTGAGCCAAGACTGCACCACTGCACTCCAGCCTAGGTGACAGAGACTGTCTCAAATACAAAATAAAACAAAATAACTGTTCTAAGGCTTTTTTTTTTTTTTTGGCTTCCTTTTCCTGCAGGAATGATGAGAAAACAGCAGCTGATTACAAGATTTTAGGTGGTTCAGTCCTCCACCTCGTGTTGGCTCTGAGAGGAGGAGGTGGTGGTCTAAGGCAGTGATGGACCCTCCATTTTACCTTCTTACCCTGTCGCTCATAATGAGGCATCATATATCCTCTCACTCTCTGGGACACCAGAGCCACTGCCCCCTCCCCTGGATACCCAGTAATGTATGTCTACTGGTGGGAGACTATGAGGACCCCAGGATGCAGTATTCCTGGCCCAGAGGGACCTTGCTGGCTATTGGGTGTTAGTTTGCAGTACTGTGTGCTTCCCTCTCTTATGGCTGTGTCCCTGATTGTCAATAAAATATTTCCTGGCCTCCTGGAATCTTTCTTCTGTTGTATAAGCTGACTGAAATAAAAATGTACCTAATGCTTACTCAGTTAGAACAGGCTGAAGGAGCAGGACAATGGAAGGGATGGTGTTCCCCCACCACCCCCGCCAGACGGAGTTTCACTGTTGTTACCCAGACTGGAGTGCCATGGCACGATCTCGGCTCACCGCAACCTCTGCCCTCTGGATTCAAGCAATTCTCCTGCCTCAGCCTCCCGAGTAACTGGGACTACAGGTGCACACCACCATGCCCAGCTAATTTTTTTTTGTATTTTTAGTAGAGATGGGGTTTCACCTTGTTGACCAGGATGGTCTCGATCTCTTGACCTCGTGATCCACCCACCTCGGCCTCCCAAAGTGCTGGGATTATAGGCATGAGCCACCACACCCTGCCGGGATGGTGTTCTTAGAAGGATTCTGAGACTCTAGGAAAGCCTACTTAGTGGTTTGCTGGAGCCAGTTCCTAGTGGTTCATGAGAGCCAATTATTGGCCCCTCTTTCCAACTCAATAAGCAACTTCATGATGATAGCTTGAAGTTGGCCATGGTAGGATTATTTACAGAAATTGGCAAACAATACAGGTCAGTTCCTCCCCACAAACATCTACCAGTGTAGTGGTGACATGGATGGTGGAAACCTTAGGAGAGTGAATTCTCTGACTGTGGCTTTAGTGGACATTTAGGCCTGGTTGGAGAAAGCCCTCAAGGGTTTGGCTGACACTACACTCTGGACAGAATATTACTGAGGGCTTTGGGTTCTACGCTATGGAAAGGTTGATAATGGAGAAAGACTGAGTGGCAAGCTGTGATTTATCACTTGGTCTCGAGAAGAGGCAGATGCTAGAAAATGCTTCTCTTCTTCCCTGGCTTCTTTTTTTTTTTTTTTTTGATATGGAGTTTCGCTCTTGTTACCCAGGCTGGAGTGCAATGGCACGATCTCGGCTCACCGCAACCTCCGCCTCCTGGGTTCAGGCAATTCTCCTGCCTCAGCCTCCTGAGTAGCTGGGATTACAGGCACGTGCCACCATGCCCAGCTAATTTTTTGTATTTTTAGTAGAGACGGGGTTTCACCATGTTGACTAGGATGGTCTGGATCTCTTGACCTCGTGATCCACCTGCCTCGGCCTCCCAAAGTGCTAGGATCACAGGCTTGAGCCACTGCGCCTGGCCTTCCCTGGCTTCTTTATAGAATCCAGCAAGGCTGGATGGAGTGGGGAAGTAGGGAGGATGCCTGTGGCCAAATGCCTTGGAGAGACTTGACTGCTACAGTCGTGTTGGTACCTCACTGCAATCCTCATCCCCGCCCAGCATCAGACGGCGCTCTTGCGCTGTCTCCAGGCCGACGACGCTCTGAGTGGCGACGCTCTAGTCGCCATTTGTCTATGGCAGGCCAGTGGCTGTGTTAGCTGCTGGAGTTGCCGCTCTCTCTACGGCCCTGGGTGAAGCCCCACCTCTGCACAGCACCGGCGGTGCGGGTCATGGCGCGGCTACCGAAGCTGGCAGTCTTTGATTTGGGTGAGGGACAGGAAGGGGAGAAGTTCGTAAGGCGCTGTCCTTTTCCACATTCCCTAACTGCAGCTCTCGAGTCCCTGCGCCCCCGCCCCCAGGCTGAACCTCCCTCTCCGTCCTCTCGCAGATTACACTCTATGGCCTTTCTGGGTCGACACGCACGTAGACCCCCCGTTTCACAAGAGCAGGTGAGGTAGGGACGTGGAGGACTGGGGCGAGGTGGGGCCTGGCCAGGGCTGAGTGCACTCTTGCCCTCTCCAGTAATGGAACTGTACGAGATAGGCGGGGCCAAGACGTCCGACTGTACCCAGAAGTGCCTGAGGTCCTAAAACGATTGCAGAGCCTTGGGGTGCCCAGTGCAGCTGCTTCACGGTAAGAAAAGCAACTGACAAAAACTGATAGTTTAATGCCGAAGGGTGCATGCATGAGACTTATGGTGAAACCCCTGGGCTACAAAAATAGGGGCGGTGCAAGTTTGCAAGTATTTGCATATTTTTTCTCTTTGTATGCTCTCCTGTGCCTTTTAATTATTAAAAAGTGGGGCCGGGTGCAGTGACTCACACCTGTAATCTAGCACTTTGGGAGGCCTAGGCGGGAGGATCACTTGAGCCCAGGAATTTGAGACCAGCCTAGGCATTAGAGGGAGACCCATCTTTACTAAAAACGAAATTGTGGTGGCATGCACCTGTAGTCCCAGCTACTTGGGAGGCTGAGGTGGGAGGTTCGCTTGAGCCCAGGAGGTTGTGACAGCAGTGAGCCACGATTGGGCCACTGCACTCCAGTCTGGGTGACAGAGCTAGACCCTGTCTCAAAACAAAAACTAAAACATTGGCCCAGCACCAGCCGTGTCAAACAGGAAGGCAATGGAGTTAAACAGAGGCTGAGGATGCCTGTCCATCCTGGAAAAACAGCAAGTTGATTTCCCCCACTTATACTTATTAACTTTGCTTAACAAGTTAACGTAGCCCTGGCCCTTCACTTTGCTAATCCCATCTTTCACACCGTTTTGCAGGACAGGTGAGATAGAAGGGGCCAACCAGCTACTGGAGCTCTTTGACCTCATCAGGTACTTTGTTCATCGGGAAATCTATCCAGGCAGCAAAGTCACACACTTTGAGAGGTATGTGGAGATAAGGGAGGAACAGGGTGAGAAAGTACCAGAGAGGCTTGGGAACCAAGATACTAGCTTGGTTACCCCTGCTCTATCTTGCACAGGTTACAGCAGAAGACTGGAATTCCTTTCTCCCAGATGATCTTCTTTGATGATGAGAGGCGGAATATTGTAGACGTCAGCAAACTGGGTACTGAGCCATGAGGACAGCCATTTGGGGTCCCTAGGAGGGATTAGATACATACAGGATGGATAGTTTGCCCTATAGGTGGCACCCCCAAAGGTCAGAGTAATAATGGGGAGCCCTGAAAGCCCGATGAAATGTGACTTCTTATCTTTCTAGGTGTTACCTGCATTCACATCCAGAATGGAATGAATCTTCAAACTCTAAGTCAAGGGTTAGAGACATTTGCAAAGGCCCAAACTGGGCCTTGAGGATGAGCCTCATTTTAGGCCTAAACTGAAAGGAAATCAAGAAGGCATTTTCAGGTGCATTTGTAATTTATTAAAGTTCATCTGTGTGTGATAGAAGAGATTTTGCCAACAGTGTGGGTAGTTTCTATTTTTCTAGCCTGTGAACTGGGGTTGGTTGTCCTGAGGTGCAGAGACCAGAATGTGAGTGAGGTATTAGACAGCATCAGGTTTGCCATCTAAACTTAGGGCAACCCCAAGTGCTTGAACCCATCCCATACCATTTTCCTGAGCTCTGTAAAGAGCATGAAGAGTCTTCCCACTGACCCCACACATTGAGGTGCCATCACACTGTACATTTCCCTCAGGAGAATAAGCACATACTCTGGGGTGGAGACAGGACTGCCTTTTTATGTAATAGTAAATGATGCGGCCGCTTTAAGAGGAGCATGTAGGTCTGGGGCTGGCGGCTTGGGTCACGTGACAGCGGTGGTCTGGTTTGCGCTTCTTGATGATGTCGCCGCGGCGCCCTAAGGCGGGATTGGGCAAGGCTGGTCCCTGTGTGATGAAACATCACCCTCCCAGGAGCAAGGCAGAAGTCTGGAGGACGCCGAGTGGCGAAGGCGGGAGAGGCGATGAGTGGTCTCGGCAGGCTCTTTGGGAAGGGTGAGCCGGGGTGGCACTGGCCAGCCAGGACGCGCTGGCTGGTGCTGGGGAAGAGGAGACCCCGGCGAAATTCGGCCAGACTGCTGCACCGGACAGGGGTTAGAAACTCGGGAGACAGGCTGGAAAACCCCGGCCGATGGCAGAGCAAGGCTCATCACAGGTGGCAGAAGGCACACCTTGTCAGGGCACCTTGTCCCCATCCGCCATCCTTCCCCGCTCTCAGAGGGGAGAACTCAAGATCCGGGAGGGGACTTGAGGGCGTGGCAGTCGTGCTGGCTCCCACTGTTCAGGCTTGAAGACGAGTTTCCTGCTGTCTTCAGCCGGCTCCAAAACCTTGTTCTAAAGTACTTTGTGCTGGGCAAGAGGGATCTAAGGTGAAAAAGAAATACTGCCTTATTGCTTGGACGTGGTAGCTCCTTGTAATCCCAGCACTTTGGGAGGCTGAGGCGGGTGGATCATGAGGTTAGGAGTTCGAGATCAGCCTGGCCAATATGATGAAACCCCATCTCTACTAAAAATACAAAAATTAGCCGGGCATGGTGGTGTGTGCCTGTAGACTCAGCTAATCGGGAGGCTGAGGCAGGAGAATCACTTGAACCTGGGAGGCAGAGGTTTCGGTGAGCCGAGATTGCCCCACTGCACTCTGGCCTGGGCAACCGAGCAGGACTTCATCTCAGAAAAAAAAAAAAAAAGAAAGAAAGAAAAGGCAGCTAGGAATAGCAAAAAGAATATTGGTTTTAGAACTCCTACTGCCACATTTTGATTCCTGCACAATCTCTTACTAGTTGCCATTTTTAACATCTTTGTGGTTGTTTTCACATTTGGAAGTGAAGAGATGGCACATTCATTGTAGAGATTTGGGGATTAGCAGTAACACAGTCAGGTGCCTAGCACATACTATGCATTCAATGCTTGGTGGCTAATATTTTTCCTTCACAAAATTTGGGCCTACTTCATTGGACTCTTCAGGGAAGAAGGAGAAGGGGCCAACCCCTGAAGAAGCAATACAGAAACTGAAGGAGACAGAGAAGATACTGATCAAGAAACAGGAATTTCTGGAGCAGAAGATTCAGCAGGAGCTACAAACAGCCAAGAAGTATGGGACCAAGAATAAGAGAGGTAATGAGGGAAAGGAGCCTATGGGGAGGGCACAGATGGGAAGCAGGTGCTTCTGACTCTTGATGTTCAGGGTGTGGGCTGGGTCAGCTGCCCTACAGGCTTTGCGGAGAAAGAAAAGATTGGAACAGCAGCTGGCACAAACTGATGGGACGTTATCCACCCTGGAGTTTCAGCGTGAGGCCATTGAGAATGCCACCACCAATGCAGAAGTTCTTCGTACCATGGAGCTTGCTGCCCGAGGCATGAAGAAGGCCTACCAGGACATGTGGGTACGGGGGGGGGGGGGTGGCACCCAGGCACTGGGAAGAGTGGCTTGCTACCACACTTTAAAGCCTCTCAGAATGTGGATTTACAGTACGGATGTTTGTGATGGCTAGACCTCTGTCTGCCTCCTTGTTTCCTATAAGATTCTTTCACTGGCTGGGGCATTCTAGGGAGGAAAGATGCCTCCTCTAATTCTTTTTTTGTTTCGTTTCTTTTTTTTTTTTTGGAGATGGGAGTTTCGCTTTGTTGCCCCAGGCTGGAGTGCAATGGCACGATCTTGGCTCACTGCAACCTCCACCTCCGGGGCTCAAGTGTTTCTCCTGCCTTACCCTCCTGAGTAGCTGGGATTACATGTGGGGGCCACCATGCCCAGCTCATTTTTATATTTTTAGTAGAAATGGGGTTTTGTTATTTTGGCCAGACTGGTCTTGAACTCCTGACCTCAGGTGATCCACCTGCCTGGGGCTTCCAAAATTCTGGAATTACAAGCAGGAGCCACCGTGCCCAGCCACTTTCTCTAATTATTTCTTTCTTTCTTTTGTTTTCACATCTGCAACATTTATTTTTTAAAGGAATGGATTTTGAGAGAAAACTATGTGGCACAGAAATATGGAACAGAAAACAAATGCAAACATAGGCTATTTTGCTAATTGTTTTTATAACCACAACGAACTAGTACAGAGAATGCCCTGTACAAAACACAAAGGTTCAAACATCAAGGCATTCCCTTAGCAAGGCTGAAAATTTCAGTCTCTGGTATTTGGAATTTAGGCTGCAGTCCTTGTTTTTGGATGGATCACTGGCTATGTGGCACAGTCCATGTTTCTTTTTTTTTTTTAATGAGACAGAGTCTCACTCTGTTGCCCAGGCTGGGGTACAGTGGCCTGATCTCAGCTCACTGCAACCTCCATCTTCCAGGTTCAAGTGATTCTCCTGACTCAGCCTCCCGAGTAGCTGGGATTACAGGTGCACACAACCACTCCTGGCTAATTTTTATATTTTTAGTAGGTTTCACCATGTTGGCTAGGCTTGTCTCGAACTCCTGACCTTAGGTGATCCGCCTGCCTTGGCCTACCAGAGTGCTGGGATTACAGGTATCAGCCACCACGCCCCGCTGCCTTCTCTGATTCTTAAAGATCCTTCAGGAAAGAGAATGCAGCCTGTCCTCTCCAGGGTGGCTCCTTGCTATTTCTTAGCCCAGATTTGTGTCTTTGCAATTTTCCAGGGATCTCTTCTACTTGATAGCTATGGGCTTATCAGTGTGACCCTACAAGGCAGGAGGGGTTTCATTCATGTGAGATGAAAAAGTCAAGGGGGCATCATTTCCTGATTTCTTAGCTGTCTATCTCATTCTCAGGGACATTGACAAAGTAGATGAACTGATGGCTGACATCACAGAACAACAGGAGGTGGCCCAGCAGATCTCAGATGCCATATCTCAGCCTGTGGGCTTTGGAGATGATGTGGATGAGGTGATTGGGGGTGAGGGGTAGGGGAATGTTGGAGTAAGGATGGGACTGGCCAGAAGGAACACCCAAGAGAGGCTCTTGGAGCAAGTTTTGGAGAGAACTTCAAAAGTGGTATGTTTTTAGAGGTAGAAGTTTTTTTCTTCATCTTGAATGGTCTTGTTTTCCCCATCCAGGATGAACTGCTGGAGGAACTAGAGGAGCTGGAGCAGGAGAAATTGGCTCAGGAGTTGCTAAATGTGGGCGACAAGGAGGAAGAACCCCCAGTCAAATTGCCGAGTATACCTTCTACACATCTGCCAGCAGGACCAGGTATGCAGGGTTGTTCTGTTGTCTTGAGGACTTAGAGCATGGGAGAGTGACCACATCTTTAGGGTTTTTGCTGGGGAGAGAGAATTCAGCAGACTCTGAATGTCATAGCAGGGGATGGTTGGAATTGCTGAGACCTTAATGCTTCTTCTTTCTTTTCTCTGGGCATCTCTGTCCTCAAAGCTCCCAAAGCGGATGAAGATGAAGAAGCACTAAAGCAGTTGGCTGAGTGGGTATCCTGATAAGTCTGGGCTTGTCTTCCTAACGCTACCTTTGTTGGTCCTTTTTCCTTAAGTGCCAAGTACTGAGCTAAAGGAGGATAAGTTTTTGGGGAAGTCCTGCTAAGGGTGGCAGTGTGATCCTGCCTGAAAAAAGGGTCTCTTGCCCTCCCAGCCCTGGCTCAAATCTGAAGAAGGATCTTGCTCCAGGAGGAGCCCTTGGGCTCCCTCCTTTTTGATAGCAATTATAATGTCCTTGTTCCCAATAAAATTGGACAGACAGAATCTTCGTGTCTATACTGCCTTGTTTACCCCTGAAGCTCTCCCCCTGGCCCTTGTCCTCAAGAGCCTTATTTCAAGCAGTGAATAATTAGAGCAAAGAAAGGGGTTTGAAACAGAACAAATGGGCATTCCTAATATCTCAACTTATGTCCCAGGCAAGCACTGTTTCGTCTTTCAAGTTGGTTTGTCCTAGAGTTGCCCAGTTGCTGAGATTGAAGAAACTGCTGTCCTGTCTACCACTTATCTTAGAACCATGTGGAGGCATCTCTGAGTCTCCCCTCCTCATTGCTTTCCACTCGTCGTGCCTCTGCCAAGACAGTCCCACATTTCTTTTACAAAGCCCATTTTCAAGAAAAAGGAGGGAGAATACCATGGAAGGAGCAAGTAGCTTTACTACTTGGAATGGAAGGAGCAAGTAGCTTTCCTTTATCCAGAGTCCATAGTTAGTAGCTTTCACTACTAGAAGGGTTCATTTGAATTGAGTCTGGGAACAATAGTGTGAGGAGCCTTGTCTCCCTGCTATTGTTTCAGTAGTGGTTAAGGTGACACTGGAAGAGGGAAAAGGAACCAAAGTACTTCATACACCTGAATGCCCATTTCTTTTCTGTTTTTTCATTTTTTGAGACAGAGGTTCATTTTGTCACCTAGGCTGGACTGCAGTGGTGCGATCTCGGCTCACTGCAACCTCCGCCTCCCAGGTTCAAGAGATTCCTGTGCCTCAGCTGGGCACCACCATGCCCGGCTGGTTTTTGTATTTTTAGTGCAGCCATGTTGAACAGACTGGTCTTCAACTCTTGACCTCAA